CTAATTAACATTCTTTACATCTTGTTTAATTTCCACATTCCGGTTTCTTTTATTGAAATTTGCAATGGAATTGGAACCTAACTTAACACCTAACTGTCAAATATGTCAAATAGTTGATAGTCCGACTTCTAATCGAGTTTGATCAAAAAACATAAAGAAACAATGTTTATTGTGTTTATTATTCGTGTACAATTAGATGCAGTTACCATTTAAAAAGTTTTTATAGAATATTTACCTAATATTTTAGAAATATGAGAGAAATATTGACAAAATGAACCCGACGATTCCAAAGAATACTTGATAATTGCAAGAAAGTAAAATTTTTATACCTGTTGAATTATTCGCGTTTTCTGAACATTACACAGTTACTTAATAACGAAAGTTTAATTCGTAATTTGCATTTAATAACTAATTAAATAACCTTTACTTACATCTTGTTTAATTTCCACATTCTTGTCTTTTATTGAAATTTAATTACAACAAAATTGTCAGCTGACAATTCGTACCTAACTTCATACCGTGTTTACCTAACCGGATTTATATTAATTATTAATTAATTAAGCGTGAAGTTTGCCGAAGAGCCCCTTCAATTAGGAAATTTTCGCGTACAATTTACAAAAATATCCCGATTCGAGGGAAATTCAGAGGCGACGAATTTCCATGTAAAAATGTTATTCGGAATAAAAGTCACGACTTGCATTAATAAATATAAAAAATATAAATCAAGAGGGTCGCGACGCTGCTATAGGGTCGTCCTTTAATGGAATGAAGATGAGGAATATAAAGCGAAAAGAGCAGGGACGTATTCGGCGAAAATCGATGTAATTAAACGATGTCTAATAATACATTTACATTGCCTAATGTTGGTCAAACATACAACACGAAAATAACAGAATTATTTTTAAAATGCATTAAGATTAAAAGAGTGCTTATAAAAAAAATCCGAAAATAGTGTTGTTTACTCGAAATTGTATAAACAAACTTACAAAACAACATATTGTCTAGAAAATTTACCTGTTAGGTAAACATGGATTGTAAAGTGCAATGAACAGACAGAATATTAGAATATCTATTAAAAAAATAACACTGAAATACATCAAAATAATAAACAATAAACATAAAGAATCTCTGCAATAAAAACAACTTCCATTAGTCTCATATGAAAGATAAAGAAAGTGGTATTTCACTTAGTTCAACTCATAGAATTCATAGGTGTTTGATTTATACAGAGTGGTTCTACGAAAACCGACTTCAGTGGATTTTAATAGCGATCGATGACGTCATACTTTGATAAACCTGAACGCACTGTAGAAGCGAATTTAATCGCGTATTCTCGCCGGAATACCGGCCTGGTTTTTCCATACAACAAAGCGCTCGCCGGTGAATAGCGCCGCAGGTCGGATCCTAAACGATTTTCAGTGTGTTCGCTTTTTTATTCCTCTCCAAACATGTGTGTTCACTTTAATATCACTCCCATTATTATCGTGCTCTCTTTTAAATTGATTACCGCTCGTTCGCGGATCCGTTTGGATATTCCGATTCGACCCGACGAGCGGTCGATTAATCGATTGTCTAATCGATTCGGGCGTCGAGTTCCCTTGCTTAACGGGCGATTATGATGAACGTTCTCGTTTATTTTATAATCCGTCGCAAGGGTGAAAGTCGAGAAAAAAAGAGAAAGTGCTCGACGCGAAGAAGAGAGGAAGACTCTCGACCTTCTTCCATTCGAAACTCTCGAGGAGACCGTTCGAATGCGGATTCGTTTATTGATTTTTTGCGATGGTAAATATTTGCGTTACAACGGTATGATGAAATGAAACGATTAAATGCTCGTAATGCGTTATTTAAAGTATGATAATCGTTTCGATTATGAAATTTGATTCCGTATTTTTTCTTGGAAATTATAATCTAGTTTATAATACCCGGGGTAAACCTGGGTTTAGTCGTTTATCTAACTTTAACCGCAACATATCTGTTTATTCTGGGTGTATATTCTGCCTGGTGTACTTTGTAATTACTGGAACTAATTAATTAATGAGGGAACTTATTAAATTTTAACGCAAGTTGAAGTAAGAAGGTTTTTCTTCTCGATAAATATCATTTTTTTTTAAACAAAACAAGGTACTGAATTACTTAATTATTTAACGACCCGGGTAATTTTTTCGCGAAATTTATAATTTTGTTAATTGTCCGAATTATCCGTAAAGTTTGATTGAATAAAAATTTGCATACTTATTCTATCTTTCGGCTCGATAATAGCGAAACTGCCGTCGTCTCGCCTCAAAATCAAGGATATTCGAACGAGTCCAGTTACGTTAATTAATTAAAAAAAGGACCCTGAACGAGGAAAAACAACGCCAATAATTTTTTTCCTACACTCGCTTTCGTGCGAACGAGTTTCGTAATTTCAATTCGCCGTTTCTCGCTTCCTTGAAGTGCGCTTTGTATAGAATAAAAGTAGCGAGAAACTGTTTATATTTTTAAACATACTCCCGTTTCTCGATTTCAAAACGCTTTGTTTAGGTTATAGGCATCGTTCCGAATCGATTTCGATATATCAATCGAAATTCGGCTTTCGCCGGTCGCCGAGTAGACGAAACAGTAATTAAACGAGCGATAAACGCAGATGTTACCGAATAGACATCGCGAGTTATCGATTCGGCCGGGAAAACGCTCCGGCGGCGTCAAGAACAATAGCCCCGCCGTATAGACGTTGGAGGAGCCGAATGGAAACCCATAGGAGATTATGAAGTCGGAACAATGGGAATAGAAATTGTCTAGTTAACCGTCAATTGTCCGTACATATGCATAATTTCGAGCGGCTAACGAAGGAGCGCGAATCGCGTGGCCTTTAATGTTTACTACAAATTACACCTGCGGAGTTCGTATGAGATAATTTTCGAGTTTGTTTCAGCGCAACAAATTTACACTTTAGGTAAAGTGCGGTAAAATAGAGTAGAGTTGAAAACAGCTGAGCAGATTTGAGAAGAGTGTATTCACAGTGGATTCAGAGTAGAATCAGTGTATAGATTCAATGTAGAATCAGAATGGATCAATGTAGAATAAATGTAAATAGATTCAGAGTAGATTCAGAATGATTCAGAGTACCTAGATTTAGAGTAGAATCAGAATAGATTCAGAGTAAATTCAGAGTAGATTCATAGACTAAATTCAGAATGATTCAAAGTAAATTCAATGTAGATGCCGAGTAGAATCAGATTAGATTCAGAGTAGATTCATGAGAGTAGATTTAGAGTAAATTCATAGTAGATTTAGAGTAAATTTCCGAGTAAATTCAGAGTAGATTCAGAGTGGTTCAGACGCAGATTCCGACTAGAATCAGATTAGATTCAGAGTAGATTTAGAGATATTAAGAGTTTTTTAGAGTCATCATCAGAGTAGATTAAGAGTAAATTCAGAGTAGATTTAGAGTGATTCAGACCTAGATTCAGAGTAGATTCAGATTAGATCCAGAGTAGATTTAGAGAGATTAAGAGTAGATTCATCAGAGTGTATTTAGAATAGTGTATATAGTACCTACCTAGATTCAGAGTAGATTCAGAATGCTATACTCTTCTCAGGATATTTCTTCACGATATTAGTTAAGATTGCGGTAAAATATAATGGAAATATAATACCTTGAATGGTTTTTTACGGCGAAAATTCTGCGAAAATTGCGATAATTTCGAATCGCATTGCCACCTGTAAGTGCGCGCGGGCATATTTTCACGGTTAATGAGCATTGTTTGCCGGATAAAGCGCTGTTTACCGGATCACTCCGAGTAATTATATAATGGAAATGTATCGTGCGCTTTCGATTAAATACATTCTATTTAACAGGCTCCGAATGCGAAATTAATACCCGAACTATTTAATGCACGGTTCAAAAGTTCTGTTAATATTAATTAACCCACAGAGTGCGTATTGATTTTTACGGCGCGATTGTGCTTATATGCGATAACCTAATGTAGTGTTGGGGAGAGTTTATAACGTATTTTGATATCTATTATTTTATCGGTTTGCGTATACATTTGTATTATATCCGTAATTTATTTACAACACGAGTGCAGTAATTTTTTGTAATGAAGTAATTAAGTATACAAAAAAATCGTTGTTATCTTACGTATTATAGCGATAAGTCCTGACCTAACAACAATATTTTTATTTATACCGGATTCATCTGATTATATATTTTTTGTAACAATAACACAAATTTTGTTTGTCTATAGTTTACAATTTTATATACGGGATGAAATTATAATAACGTCGGTGTAAAGCACGGCCCTATATTTCTAAGGTCTGGAAACTCCCTATGCTTATGCTTTAGAGAATGTGTCCCGTTATTTGAGGACTTTTTAGGACCAACTTAGCACAGCCAATCAGCGTCGCTATACATATAAATCGCGGTTGTGTGAAACGACAGTTCAAGCTGTCAAAACTTCAAAAATTATTTTTTGACATTTCGAGGAGAAAATGGAGAAATACATTAACCGAAGATACGTGAGGCATGATGTTAACAACAAAATCATCGCTGATTTAAGTATATTTTTATATTTTGTATCTATTTTTAGTTTGAATAAAACCTTTCTTAATGCCAATTCTATATAATTCGTACGCAAAAAAACAGTGATCCTTAACAACATCGCCTCCTAGCGGCCGTTTTATGAACCCTGTTTTATCCTCAAATAACGGGACACTTTTTCGACCTATATGTTACCAGACCTTAGAAATACAGGACCGTGGTGTAAAGCGATTTGTAATAGTCGAAACTATCTTAACCAAATCGCGTTATCTTCCCCATTTGTACGTGGGTAATTATCGTAGGTATTCTTATTTCCAACTCCCGACATTTAGTCATCGGTAATCCTTCGTCGGGTCGACGTTAGAGCGAAAGTTTTCTCTTATCGTTTCCGCGAAAGCCGCATTGATAACGACGCAAAAATCGATAATTACCGTCTGGCTTCGGTTTTGTTTTATTCGACGCTTTGATTTTTCGAAACATGTCGGGCCCCTTTATCGATGATTTCGATGACCAGCGCCCGCCTCTATGCGGTACGTATAAAACGCATTAATTAACGGGTATTTGTGCAATTTATAATTAGGCTGGTAATTGTGGAAGACGAGACCGGTGCGAGGTAATAATCAAATTTAATGGCAGATTTGGAAATGGGAATGTGTTGCCTTATGTAATGGTATCATTTTGGCTCATTAATTTTTGTATAAAATGTCTAGAGAAAGTTACCGCTGAGAAATTACCGTAAAAATAACTATGTATTAAGATTTTATGTTGTGAATTGAACTCGATTCACGTAGATACATAATTCGTATAGAAATTGGATATTTTTGTTGATTTCGTTAATGTTCTACTATATTTTTTTGACTAGATGCGTTTTAAGGTTAAAGGCCAAGAATAAGGAAGAAAAAGACAACTACAATATTTAACTTGCAAATGAGGCAATGAAATAGAATTTATTGTATACACTGCACCTGAATCGAAGTAAACTTCTTTATATTCTCCGTTTGTAGCACAGAAGCTTCTATTTTATTATTATACTTAAATAATAACTCTAATAACACATTTTTTTCCACCATCTTAAAAAATATTAATCACACAAAACGCAATGACACATTGACAGTTTGACAGTTATGACAATTACGACAACCATCACAAAATCGCTATTACCTAGTCATACGAGGGGCAAACAAAATGATGTACAGAAAAAGAAATTATTTATGAAAAATATTAGTCTCTATCTAAATTCGAACACTCCCAATCGTTCCACGTGATATATCACGCACTGCTATCGCTTCGAAATGTAAACTGGCCGAACGATAAAACCATCAAAAACAAACTCAATGTAAATACACCTAAGTAAGTCAAATGACCTCCGCAAATAAACAGGATGTCCCAATAAATACCACAAATCCTTACTTTTTTTCGCATGTAATACAAGGGTGGTAAATAAAATTCCTTGTTTGGTTACTTTATTTGTATCGATTGCTTCAATTTAGACCGCAACATGGTGGTTTCTATGAGTTGAATAAAGAAAGATTAATAAAACTACAGTTGTCGGAACGAAAAGTTGCAATGACACAAATTGTCACTCTTTCTTCTTCTTTTATAAGTGTCTAATGGAAGTTGTCTTTATCGTACTTATAGCCTATTTTGCGATCTGCAATGATATATGTAATACGAGGGTAGTTAAAAATGTTTTGTTGTTCCAGGTATCAGCCACATTGATGCAATGAAACCGCCACCGTCCGTCGACGATTGCGACGACATCTTCGGCCCGCCGCGCACCTACCCGTCGGGCTACTGCCCCCCGAAGAACCGCCCCTCGATGATATCGGCCAAGTACCGGCAGAAGGAGGAGCGCCGCAAGGTGCTCAAGATCAGCATCAACAAGCTGAAGAAAATCGAGGACCCGGAGGCGAGCCTGCGCCGATCGGTGCTCATCAACAACACCATGAAGCGGCTGCAGCGCGAGACCAAGGAGGAGAAGGTGCAGAAGCAGCAGCTCAGCTACCCGCGCTGCTACGACAACGACGGCTATCCGGCCTTCAAGGAGGAGCCCGCCGAGGCGGCGGCGGCGGCGTTCGCCGTCGTCGAGAACGACTTCGACGCCAAGCTGGCCGAGGAAATCGACCAGGTCAACGCCAAGGAACCCTTCGATTTGGTCGATGACAACAACCTAAGCGAAGCGTTCCAGTTGGGCGGCGACGGCCCGGCGACGGCCAGGAAGCGGTCCTTCGACGACGTCGTCGACGACTGCGACGTGCAGGACGTGCTGTCGCAGTTCTACATGCCGCCGACGCCGCGCATGCTCACCTGCATCGACGACGACGAGGACGTGAACGTCGTCGACGACGAGCCGCTGCCCAAGCGGTTCAAGATCGACCTGGGTGAGCCCGTCGCCGCCGCCGCCGCCGTGGCGGACGCGAAGCTGACGGACTTTAGTGTGAACAATTTTTTGAACAATAACGTGCCCGCGGAGCAGCAGGCCCGGCTGCAGGCCGACAGCTCCTTCAGCTGCGGGCACGCCTCCATGTTTAGTGAGTTCCAAAGTAACGTTTTTCACAATTTGATCGCCTCGCTGGAGACGTAGTGGGCGCCGTAGAGGACGCGTTTTCGGTTTAATTTCGGTTAATTTCGGTTCATGTGATATTTTTTGTGTGGATGTGGATGTTCGACTTTGAGTTGTTTGTTTTTATTATTATTTACGTTTTGATTCGATTCATCGGAATGCTAGCGATATATACAACGTTGTGCCAATGCGTATTGCGAAACTATCATCACGTTTTTCCGGTTTTATATTTTGACAATTACCTAAATGTTTGTTTGGCTTTTCGTTTGGTATCGAATCAAAAACGCTTCGTGCAAATAACAATAATTTCGTACTTAAATTCGTTCGGATAAAATTGTGAATTCGATAATATCACAAGTCCATTTAGAAGATGAAACCCGCTTATTTAAAATTTAAATCAATCGGATAAAAGACACTATTTTTAGCATTATTGTTATTTAGCAATTTGAAGTACATATAGTCCATTCTCTGAACTTACGAGGGTATCGGATTAATAATTTTTTTACAGTCAATTGCAGGTGCCTCAGTATTTTTAACTTTTTTCTGCTGTACATATGAAATGGTGAAATTAATTTTGAATAAAATCGAAAATAATCCTCCAGTATTTGAATTGCACAAATCATTATTAATGCTACAAAACCACAAATTCAATTGAAATCATAAATTAGTATTTATTGTACGAATAGAACATTTTATATAATACTCCAGTTTAAAAGTTATATAAAATTAATCCACCCATTTAGAGCAATTGATCCGAATTTTGCGAGAAACTACGATTTACCATTTTTTTAATCCGAAATCAGCGTAAGTTCAGCGAATAGACTGTATCTATACAGATAAGTGCAAATTTATATGCAATATGGTCAATTCTATGGGTTAAACAGAGATATTATTAAAACAACACTGCAGTTAAAGGGAGAAAGTTACAATCCCACAACATCACTCTTTCTTTTTCCTTCTTGTTTTAGACAAACGAAAGTTGTCTTTGTTGCACCCGTATTGCGTGCAAATTTGCACTTACCTGTATAATCTTATAAACGTTATAAATGAATGGTTGTAGGATGAGATATTTTTCGTTCGCAAACGCCTCCCCACCGCCCCTTTTCTCCACTATAAGATATATTTTTTTTACATAGTGATATATACGTGTAAATAGGAAAACCCGTTTTAATCGTATAAACAGCTCTCTCGATTTTCTTTCGAAAAAAAAAACAAAATCTTGCTACGGAAATGTCTTTCAATTCATACGTTATAATCGATTTTAACCGGTCATATTAACATCCTCGAAATTTCGCGTTAAGGGATTCACAGAAAACGTTAATTAGCAAATATATAGTACGGTAATTTTTTCGTACTGTTGGTAGAACTGAGAACGATAGCTTATACGCAATATAGCCAACTTAAAATTCGGTTTATTCATTCGAAACCGCGCGATAATTTCGAAGGTTTGTACATTATAATCGGTTAAACGAACACTTTTTTTTTTAATTCTAATAGAGAGCAACTCGAACTGTGATATGGCAATCTAATTTGTAAAACCGACGTGTTTCAATTTAGATGAATATTTTGTATAAAATTCGTAGGCGAGAGAATTGTGCTCGAAGAACCGCTTCGGCATGATTTTAGTGAAATGTAATTCCCCGTGCGGCTGTTCGAGCACAAAAATTCCCCGAAATCCTGCGCGAGTTTTCAGGACGAGCGAGTTCCGCGAGAACAATCGCGTCCTGCTAGGGGGTAGCTAATTGAATTGTCCTTCGAATACTATAGTTTAAATTGTACAGAAATTACCTATATAGATTCGTGAAAGATTTTAGACGCATCGTGTATTCCTGTGGCTTGATTAGGAAAACGAAAAAATATAAAAAAAATCTGTATATTTTTCCTTATTCGTATTCGTCATATCCGAGAAAACTACCACTGATTTATGTGTAAACTGCACAATGTACAAGTAGGGATGTTGTATTTTCTAATATTAGCCAATTTCCGAACACTTAAAGTCAATAAAACAATTATTTTAATTAAAAACAACTCTTCAATTTTTATTACGTCAGGAGAAATTCCCTCTCTACTTTACACTTCTATTATTAATTTTTTTTAGGTATTTTTTTGGCGTTGATTCAATTTTGTATATTTCGAGATGCAGATAGTTTTTATCTCTGTACGATATTTTTAAAAATAGAACGTGATATTATAAGTGTTTATGAAAGAGCGGCGATTATAAACAAATTTGTGCTTGAGCATTTTAGGAAATATTCTTTACAAAATGTAATTGTACGTGTAATTTTCGGAAACCTCTGTGTGTTTTATTTATTTCGTGATTTATCGCCGAATTAGAGGAAGTTTTGGGAATTCCGCTTGATGTTTTTTAAACGAATCTACTTAAATGCCCGCCTTCGAACTTTCTCTTCCGATTCCACAATTCCTAATATTTACAGCGTTTCTAAAGCCAATATTTACATTAATCGGATTTTAACGTGATTTCTCTTATTTTTTTACGAAAATGCGCATTCAGTTCTGTTTGCCCCACTCATCCCTATTTTGAATTTGCCAGTTGACAACTGCACAAAACGAAAGGAAAAAATCGAAAAAATCGACCAATTAATAGTTAATTTTTATCATTATTATTATTATTAATATTATTATCTATTATTATTATATTTTTATTGTGTCCTATCGATTAAATTGTACATATTATTTTTCTTATTTGTTATTTTTTTACGAGGGTTTTTAGTGAAAGAGCTTGTTGAAGTTGTTAGATAATGAAATTTTGCTGGTGTAAATCGCCCAATTAAATCAATTTCTGTAGGTAATTAGTCAATAGCTCGTCCGGAGGAGAAGATTGTGATATCTCTTTGCCGCTAAATTTAACAAGCTTTTTTACTAAACCGTTCGTTATTTTATTAAATGCAATTTGTAATAAGTTGAATTTTTCCTCTTAAATTTACGTTTTTAATTTTTTTTTTGTTTATTTTTAGTTACGAATTGTGTTTAAAAGTTGCTTTTTTATTTGCGGACGAACGCCGGAAAATCAATAATTCATTAATTTTATATTTGAAATCTCCGCGATCTCGTTATTAATTTTTTTCTTTTTTCGATCATTGCGTTTAATAATAATTGGAAGAAAGCCATTTGTGTAATTAAATGAAATGTTTTGTTGATACCAAAATGAAAATGTTACCGTGAAGATTTTTACCACATAACAAATTCTTTCTATAATACTTTTATCGTATGAATTTATTATTAAGAATATTTATATACTGTACATTAGGCATTAGCCGAGCTAATTGGTAATGCAATAAAGTACCTGAAAATTATTTTGTTGTTTTTATAAAAATAAATCTTACCTAAATTCCTACCTAATACAAATTTCTACATAATATACACTATTACTTTCACTTATACAGGGTGTATAAAAAATATACTGTTGTAAGTAATAAATAAATGCAAAAATATATTGGAAATTTTCTATCTAAAAATAAATAAGTTACTAAAACGAATATAAAATGACTATGAATACTTTAATACTTTCACTATGGAAATACTATATTCAGTGAAAGCAAAAAAAAATGGGTTATTTTTTATTTTTTCCGATAAAATATTTTTGCAAGTTTTGAAGCTTGTGCTGCCATCTATATTTCAATAGCAGAAGTATGTTTATAGGTTTACAGTTTTCTGTAAATAGCTCAATGTAGTTGCCTAATTAGTCTTATAGCAGTCCTAGTAGTCAGAAATTTAAATTTTAGAATTTCTTATTTCTCATTATTTAAACATAAATTTAGTTAGAGGATACAAACAAAATTTGTTTATCGCGTCTTAAATATATAGTTGAGAATTTTACAAGTATTATCTTTGCAACTTGTAAATATGATTACCTACTTAGAATGTTATTTCAAGTTTACCTTTTCTTATATTAGTTTACTATACCCAAAATTAGGACAGGATGGACCCTTCCCTACCCATAGCTGTCCTTTTTTTTATCACTAACATTACATAATTATTACTTCCACAGTTACATCAGGCATTTGAATAACAAACATACAAAACAATTTAAGTAACTATTAATAAAAATAATAACCTTAAACCTAAAAGGTTATCTACACGCATCGAATATAAGTAGTTCGTTTCATTCTAACCAATTCATTTAAACGAGCATATAACCCAGCTAGAAGATGAAGACGACACTGCTGATAGCCCTAACAATCTTCCACCAGCTTTCATCATCAACAGCCACCAAGGACCCATCGATCATCATCGTCGGCGCCGGAGTATCCGGCCTAACAGCCGGGAAAATCCTCATCGACCACGGTTTCCACAACCTCACCATCCTGGAGGCGGAGAACCGCATCGGCGGTAGAATCCACTCAGTTTTCTTCGGCGACGCCTTCATAGACTTGGGCGCCTCGTTTTGCCACGGCCAAAAGAACAACATCGTCTACAACACCGTCGAGAAATTGGACCTCCTGGTGCACTCCAAGAATTCCACCGCCCTCTACAGCTCCTCCGGCGACGCAGTCGACCCGGCATTCGTCGATGAATTCTTCAATATAACCTCATCGCTTTTAACCGAAAGCGGCGACCTGCCGACGCCCGACAACGAGAACATCTCCTACGGAGAGTACTACACGAAATAGTAAGTAACAAATCCACCAGAGTACTTGAAATAGATGTTGTTAGTTGGGTTTCAGTTACACTGAAATTATAAACGAGAGGTTCGGCAAGGACCCGGCGAAGCTGAAGCTCGCCCAAGAAGGCCTGGATCTCTTGGAGAAATGGGCCGAAGGCTCCGACGGGTTTCCATCGTGGTTCGACGGCCCGGCCGCCACCGATTACCAGTGGAACGAAGGCGACGAGTACATGGAGTGGAAGGGCACCGGCTACCAGACCTTCATCTACGTGCTGCTGCGAAAATTCCCCGATTTGCAGCGCGTCACCGCCGTGGAGCGCGGCGTGGTCTTCGACAAAGAGGTCGCCAAAATCGCCTACGACGCCTCCAGAGAGCGGGGCGGTGTAACCGTCACCTGCTCCGACGGGAGCGTTTACGAAGCGGATCATGTAATAGTTACCCCTTCTTTGGGTGTCATTAAGGAGAACCTGGACGAAATGTTCGAGCCTCAGTTACCTTTAGCTAAAAGAACTGCCATCGATAGCATAGGATTCGGAGCGATCATGTCTTTGGCTACTCACTATACCGGTAAATGGTGGGGCGATGACTTCGCTGGTGTCAGCTTGTTGTGGACGAAGGAGGACTTGGAGAATTCCGCTAAAGAGTTCCCACTAGGACCACACCATGTAAGTATCTACTTATCGTAAAATTATGGTTGAATATGCACGATTTAATTGCAGAATAACCGATCTTGGGTGACCTACACGGCTGAGATAATGCCCTGTACTAGGAACCCCAACGTCTTGAGGTTTTGGTTCAACGGGGTTCTCGTACCAGAAATCGAACTGCTCTCCGACGAGGTGCTCGTTGACGGTGTGGATTTTATCACTAGAAAATTCCTAGGAAAAGACTACAACGTGACCAAACCCGACAAAATGATCCAGTAAGTTATCCGGTTAGTACTTGTGCTCGAATACAATCATTCGTGAATTTAACTTAGTTCCAGGTGGGTGGCTAATCCTCATTTTAAAGGAACTTATTCGTACCAAAAAATTGCGGCTGTGCGTAGGGGAAACGGTACTAATGCTGAAGAAGAACTGGCCAAACCGATAAAAACCGAATCAGGAAGACCTTTTGTCCATTTCGCTGGAGAAGCCACCCATCCTAGGTACTACTCCAACGTACAAGGGGCTACAGAAACCGGCATAAGAGAAGCACTATCTATAATAAATTACTACTCGAAGCATTAATATATTTCTCTCAATAAGTATGTACTTTTTGAAAATAAAGTGGTGACGTAATAGCTGTATTAAGGCGAACCTACTGTAGCATAAAATATACTTTGTTATACGAATAACACTTATAATAGAATTCAAAATAAACACCAATTATCTTTGCGATGATTGACGGTGTGGTCGAGTGTAAAAAAATAATCACCGTTTCGCATTCGTGGGACGAAAATTCCTATCGGGCGGATTGTTAACCTGCCTACCTGTGCGAGATGGAAATCGGTTTTTAAATAGAAAATCGCCCGAGTTCTTTTGCCAAAAAGCATTTCACGTAAAAATAAAATGCACCACTACGACCAATGGAAAACTAGTCGGGATTCTAATAATATTAACAAAAAGCCCGCCCGGTTAAAAATATCCCGCTCGGGATTATTTTCGAAAAAAAAAAGAGAAATTATTATAATGCGCCGCTTCGGATTTTTAGTTTATCGCTCGAAAAAAAATTTATGGATTTTTTCATCTAATAATATTCCGATCGATTTATGAGAGCAGTAACTCATTTTTTGTTGTATACAGGGTGTTGCAAAATGATACTTAAGGGGGTAAGTCCTAAGTGTCTTAACTTTTGAGATACAGGGTGCTAAAGTTTTAAAAAAATAATCAATTTTTTGTAATAACTGTGATACTATTGTAGATATTTTTTATGAAATTTGGCACACATCTTGTATGAATTAAGATGCATTTTTTGATGTACAAATAATTTTATTATTTTCAGCAGTGGCGCCCGTACGGGTTTTTCATGGAATAATTTTGGAGAAAAACATGATACGCCACTGCCTAATATTGAAATAAAAATTATTTTCGGAATCCTCGTTCAATTTAGAACAAATTTGATTTCTTGACTTTTTTTCGTACGACTCATCGTTTCGCATTAAAAAAAATAAATGCAATCATTTGCATTAAAATTAAAAAGTAATAAATTTTAGGTTTAGGACATATGTTCATATAAAGATTTTTTCTTAAAATGGGTCCAAGAATCACCCCCTTAAATATTAGCATGCCATTATGGAACACCCTGTATATTACTTTATTTTTTAAATTATTTTAGTGCTCAATTTTTTCAAAATTTTTATACAAAAAGTTATCTAATTCTCTTTCTAAAACCCGAAGATATTTACCCCCAATTTTTTCCAAATTTCCAAATACAAATTGCCCCCTAGTTTTCGTTAATTTTTACATAAATAAATTAACGCATGACGTCACCGATGAGATAAATTATCCATCGCATACACCAAACATTGTATATCGGTTACAACGCTACAATCGAAAATAAAACTCCGGCGAACCTTCAGGGGGACGTCGTGGAAATCGCGCCGCGACGCTCCCGAAACCGCCCACGAGGAGCCGCGTCTCGATGCCGGGCGTCGCGACGTTCCGAGCGCCAGTTTGAACGACGATCCCCCCGTGAAAAAGCGGCCACGACGACGACTATCCAGGTCGGTATTTTCGCCATAATTATTAAATTAGAATTTGAACACAATAATGGTTCTCGTTGTCGTCGGTGTACTCTATTTGATCTTCGTTGGGATTTGTTTCGTTACGATTTGTTGCTATTTTTATTATTAAATAAATTTTACAGTAGGTTTGGTTGTGCGTGTGGAATTTGCTTTAATTCGTGTTTGTTAATTAAGCGAGGTTTTATTATTATTATTATTATTACAATGAGTTTTTTTTTTTGAGTTAAAATTTGAGCTTTTTCGCGTGGAAACCGCGTTATTTTTAAACGAACTTTGCACAGGTATTTTGCAACATAAATTTTGGTGCGCGAATGCGAAAACAGGCGTAAATCACTAAAATGTGCCCGCGTAGGCCGGTTACTAAAATAAATTTTCCAACAGCAAAATCCACCTTACTTTAGCATCCAATTAAAAGTTTAAGTGTTTAATTGCAATTGCACGGAATTTGTTATACTCCGTTCGCTACCAGGCGATAGTAATAAAACCTTCTTGAAGCAGTCAATTTGTGGTTATAATGATGATATATGAGTTTATTTTATTAATCGAAAATATGGAAATTTCGCAATTTTTTGAAACTGTGAAGGTTATATTACGCCTATTATTACACATATACAGAGTGGTGCCAATATACATTACTACTACATATACACAATAGTTAAAACCTTAAAATACAGGGTGTTATAATTAATTAGGCGCTGATACTTCAGGATGTGAATATTTGGATGATTTTAAGAAGAAAAGTTTATATCAATATATGTCCTAAATCTCTAAGTTTTCGAGTTTTCTATCATAATTTTCTTATTACTCCAGATGTTTTAATGAAATTTCGGACGTGGACGTCACTGATAGAATAGTAGAAAATTAATTTTTATCCCAAAGAAAAAATTGTTTCCATGCATGGTGGGGCGCCTATCAAATTTCAACAAAATATCAAAATCAGCTTCAATTAAATTGGGAGAAAATTGTTTCCGTTTTTAATTTTTTACGCGAAAATGGTGCGTCGTACGAAAGAAAGTCTTCGTACCGAATTTGCTCCAAAATAAATGAGGATTTTGAAAATAATTTTTGTCTTTAGAAAAATGCTCATTAATAATTAAAAAGTGTGCACGAAATTTCGTAAAAATATCTGGAGTAATAAGAAAATTATGATTTTTTTTAACACCTTGTAGCTCGAAAACTAAGAGGTTTAGGACATATATTAATACAAACTTTTCTTCTTAAAATCATCCAAACATTCACTATTCACATCGTGAAGTACTGGCAATCAATTAATTAACACCCTGTATACAGAGTGGCGCTAAAAAGTAAAATACACATAGTTAAAAACCTTAAAATATTGTAATTTTTATGATTTTCATCGTCTAGCTCCAGCCACTCTTTTGCATTACAACCTCCTGATAGCGAACGGAGTATAAAACTCGCTCTATCTACCATCAAGTACCTTTTTATCACATAATTATTGTATCATTTTATTGCATCCTATACATTCGAATCTCTCTATTAACTTAACCCGTACACACGTGTTGTGCGGATTATTTTAAGTTCCTGGAAGCGTCGAGTTGGAAGTTTACGCAGCAGCTAAGTATGCGAGCGTGTATAATTTAATAGATTCTCCGAGAATTTGTATAAATTCGAAACGCTCCACTGTTACAAAACGCCAGCTATACACACATACTGGTTTACGTTCGGGAATTCTTGCCAAAATTTCTACAATCTCGCTACTTGTGCGAGCCTAAATCGCGCCGTTCCGGCGAAGGAAAAAAAACACATAGAGAATTAATTGCATTCGGATGAATCACGATTTGAGTCAAGGTATCGAATATGACTCAGTTGAATAATTGGCAGGGCCTCCTGCTCTAAAACACCGGCTTATTTTTACCCGACGACGTCGACGGTTTACCGCAAGGTTGATGGCCAAGGAATTCTCGAAATCGCCTATAAAAAAAATAATAACGCGAAATTGAAAAACTAAAACGAGGTCGTATAACAAACGAGAGACACCCTTGTATATTTCCAGGTGTAGATTAGACAAAACGAGAATCGATATTTCACATAAAAAAAAGTCATGGCGAGATTGGTGAACAAACAATTCAACTCGCCGATCGGGCTCTACTCCCACCAGAACATCCAGGACGTGATGGATAGAGACGCTCAAATTCTAGCCAACGGAGCCGTTGGGTAAGCCATATCGACTAATCTATAGGGTGTACCGAAAAAAATAAGATCTTCCAGCATCGACTTTAACAACCCCGGAGTCGGCAAACCGGACAACCTGAAGAACTCGGCGGTCTTGAGGATGCTGGAGGAGGAGGAGAACCGGCAAAGGAACGGTCATGAAACTGGTAAAAAAATCGGATACAATCGCTTCGAATTTCCATTTTTTTCGCACTATACTTCACATAATTCACTAATCGTACAGATATTTAGTATACTAATTCCTAAACATATACAGTCGGTGCAAAATAAATATCAATAATGCTCGTCTATACTATCGTCATACTTGCCAAGAATTGTGCCCGACTTTTAAAAATAAATACACGAATTAGATTAAGTTTAATACCTGCAGAATTTAATTTAATATTAACAAAGGATCATAGAAATTGTTAAAAAGCAGAATTAAATCATCCAAAAAATATACAGATTGCTCCATTTTTCGTTGCAACATAGGCTATGGGTGCAACAAAGACAACTTCAATTAGACACTTATAAAGGAAAAAGAAAGGGTGACATTATGTCATTGCAACTTTTCACTCTGACAACTGTCATTTTAATAACCTTTCTTTGTTCCACTCATAGAAATGACCATGTTGCAATCGGAAATGGAGCAAGGTGTACATTATCAAATTCAACTTTTGTATATAAAATTATTATTATTTTCTTATAGTATATTGGTAGGCACTGACTGTCAAGTTGCATAGTTGCCGTCATAGAGAAAGAAAGATTTTATTTTGTCTATGGTTGCCGTTGTCATCCGATCGGTACTTTTAATTTTTCATTTCTTCTTCTTTTTTCTAGTTTATTAGCCTCAACTACTAAAGGCTATTCAGCCGAATAATCAAGAAATAAGAATTTTTTGCGTAGTTATCTTTTTCACATGTTAGAAATGACACAATTTGAGCTCTAAATAATTCAGATTCAAAAGTTTCCTCAGAAATTTCACTATGTACTCTTTTAAGAGTCAATTGTACATAAAAATATTTATTTGCACTGTTAAATATATTTCTGATAATAAAGGAATTTGATGATTAATTATAGTAAGCCTCAGAATACTTCCGCCCTGTAGAAACGTGAAACAGGTACCCCTAATTTTCAATTTGTTCTCGTCATTTTGGCATTTGAGAACTTTAAAAAATTCTTAGATTTTGCAATCTCTATAAAACTTCGGCAACACTGCCTACTTGTGACGTTATAAATCATAGCTAACATGAATTGATATTTGTTTTGCACCGACTCTACTACGGTGCAATCTAACGCAGTAACGACGTCACGATGCAAAAATTTATTCTTGCATTATACGCATTCAAAATTCGATTGCACCTCGCCCATCGCAAACGAAAATAGCCCTCTTCATACACACGCACGCATAATATCCACCATCAAATTGGCATCCGAACAGGCTGGTAGATGAGTCAGGAAAAATACAAAATACGAGTAAATATGTCGCAGGCATGAGACCGCTCAGAGCTTGGCCCCCTCCAGACCACGAACTAAAGGACCGACAAAGGTCGACGTTTAAAGACGTCGTGACGCCAGGTAAACGCACAACGCATGTCCCAGGGCCCGTTTTGCACCTGTCTTTCGGGCAATCGGCCGGCATTTTCCTGCCAGACGGCGGCGAAATCGAGTCGAATTGCTTACCGTTAACTGTTTTCTTAGTGTAGCGCAATTACTAAAGTGAAGTACGTTTGGTGTAAATTTAACACACTCGGAATAATCGTTGCTTGATGATGGCAATCAATTTGCATGAGTGATTTGTTATTTTTTTTTTTTGGAAGCTCGAGGTTTTTTTTTTGTGAACTGGTTGCCAAGTATTTTGGAATTATTTATTGATTCGCGCGAAATTAAAACCGGAACGGACGCATCAGCACCTCTTTAAATTCAATGTTTTATCGACGGATCGTTCGGTTTTGATTGTTCGCACGAGGATACTCGAATTTCGCGAATTTTTCCAAACAATAAGAAGGGTTATTTTGCAGGGGTAAAACGAGTCGCTTGGCCACCACCATACGAAACTGGACCAAGTGGTTATAACGAAACGAATCCAATCCAACCGCAAGTGAGTACTTTTCTACAAATCGATTTTCAATACTAACTCACTCGAAACCACCGCCGAACGCTCTTCTCGCAAAATTCGCAGGTCCATAAATAACACACCTTTCGCATTAATTTTTATTCAAAAAAAAAACCAATCGGACGGCGAAATTCTCACGAGACCGACACCATCTCGGTCTCCTTGCCGGTCTTCCGGATGGTCTCCAGCAGCTCGTCGGCGCTCATCGTGGACGTCACCCGCACCGTCTGGTCCTCCAGGTTCACCTCGAACTGCTCCACCCCTTTGCCCAGGTGCTTGTCGAGCACCCGCTTGACGGCGCCCGAGCACCCGTCGCAGGTCATTTTCACTTTGAATTCGAACACTTTCGACATGGTTTTCGCCGGGGATGCGAATTTTTTTGGAGTTCACTAATCGAGCTCGTGTCGCCGCGAGACCGCTTCAGCGTTTGATACGAGTAGCTTTTTTTATCGCATTCGAAATAATCAATTATTGACGTGTGTAAAAATAAACGGACGATAAGGAGGTTAGTAATGGTTTCGATATGATTCATGAGAATATGAAAAGAAGAATTGTTTGTACAGTAGATTGAAAAAAATGAATAGGTTGTGTAGATACTGCCGATTAGGTTGAATACACACATTCGTTTGTTCAGGAGATATACAGGGTGTCTCATAAGTTCATACTTTTTTTTAACTGCTTATAGATTTTTTAATTTTAAGCAACTTTTTCAACTAAAATTTTTTAGTATTCAAGTTTTTAAAATTAAATATTCATAGTTAATACGGTCCTGTGCATTAAAAGTTAAAGGAATTACTCAAAATTGTCGCCATTTTGATTAGAAACGTTTTGGAAACACTCTCTATAAATAATCAGCATGTCCACCAATTCATTATTTGTATAAAAATGAGCCATTTTCAATTCAACAATCGAAAAATTAATTTTTTGTCATTAATTATTTATTATTTTTTTGACACCTGTATTGGTAATGGCAGGTACGTATTGGAAAATATTCGAAATTTAAAGAAATTTTATAAATTCCCATCTTTTATATTCCAGAATATTATAAAAAAATTACTTGCAAAAATTGCTTAAAATTAAAAGATCTAAACGCAGCTAAAAAAAGTATCTACTGATGAGACACCTTGTATAGAGGTGAGAATACGTTTAGTGTGTGTAATAGAGATGTAAAATACCTGTTGTTTTTATCAAATATTGGACTGGTTAATCTATTTTTGAATCGCCTTGTCGAGTAGAATTTAAGTTTATATAAATCCCGGTAATTAATTTAAAGTGTTCGTAACGACGCCTGAAAGCGTCCAATATAAATCTAAAATAATATTCGTTGGCAACAATTTCTGATATTTGCGCTTCTAATTCGCCGATTCATTAACTAATTATTCATCTGTAAGGCCGCTGAAAATGTCCGAAACACACGAACGTATATACACAGCTAGGCGGTCAAACTAGAGGGAAAGAGGATTTTTTTTCACACTTATTTTTTTTATTTTTTTTTTGTTCACCAGGGCGGACCTCATTACCCCTCTCAGTCTGCCGGCCACCAACAGAATAACCAACCCCATCAATCGGCGCCCTCTAACGCCCCCTACCAACAGCAACGCGCACCCTTGAAACTCGACGTTTCCCAGGGCGGCCCGTCCCCGCTCGCCTCGCCGCTCCTCAACCAGAGCCCCCAAGGCTACCGCCCGGCCACGCCGGCCAAGAACTGGGCGTCCGTCCACTCGCCCGTCGCCACTCCCAACCCGCCCTCCTGGGGCAGCCCCGTCCAGCCCAACCAGCCCAACCAGCCCGCCTGGCGCCAGAAAAACCCCACCAAGTTCCAAGCCGCCCACCAGCCCGTCAGCCAGCAGACCTTCCTCGGGCAACAGTACTCCGGGGCTCCCATTTCCCATCAACCTGTTCAGCAATATCAATCTCCTAATCAACAGTACCAATCTCCCGAGCAACAATATCAATCTCCTGGTCAACAGTACCAATCGCCTGCTCAATACCAGTCTCCTGGTCAACAATATCAATCTCCTGGTCAACAGTACCAATCTCCTGGTCAGCAATATCAATCTCCTGCTCAGTACCAATCTCCTGGTCAACAATATCAATCTCCTGGTCAACAGTACCAATCTCCTGGTCAGCAATATCAATCTCCTGCTCAATACCAATCACCTGGTCAACAGTACCAATCTGCTGGTCAGTTGTACCAATCTCCCGGTCAACAATACGATCATTTCGACCAATCTGTGGCTGATCAGTACAATAATATTCGCCAGCAGAGTTCCGAGCAATATTCGTATTCTGAACAATATCAATCGTCTGAACAGGTGAACAACCAGCACCCGATCCAATACCAATCGTCGCCTGTTCAAGGGTGCGGCGCTCCTGCGGCTCAGGTACGAATGAATTGTGGTGTTTTTAACGAGCAAAAACTGAGTACAATGCGCTTCGATTGAATCGGTGGCTGGACTGGCGATGTGTTGATTGATTGGGCTTTGAATTTTTTGGGTTTGTTTGAAGGATGTTATTGCACGTTGTCGTCAGTGGTTTTACTGGTTGCACAGGAGCGTTTTGTTTGGGTTTTAGGTGCAGAGACAGCCGAGCAGACCGGTGGAACCGCCGCCGACTACCATCACTCTGAGACCGGAACCGCCGGTTAACCAGGCCCCGCCGCCGGTGTACTCTTCGCAACCAGCCACGGCGACTTTAAAAGGTTGGTTGAACCAGGAATGTTATATTGAAAAACGTTTTTTCTACTAATGATGGAGTAAGTGCGCCATATATGGACCGCCATGAGCACTTTTCTCAATAAAAAATCGAAGTTTAAATTAAAATTTAGCTGATTAAAATCAGATTTATTTATATTAAACAATTACTTAACGATATAGTTAGGAAAATAAAATTTTTGAAATTAACAACATTTTCTAAAGTATATCATTTTTATGAACTTTCAGAAAGTGAACATAATATGGACCACATCCAGATTTTTCCATTTCTAGAATATAATTGACTAATTCATCTTCCAATTCACTCGGTAATGTTGATTACCTCCCAAGTTTTTGGGTGGTGATATCATTAAGTTTTGAGTGTATGTTTTGGAAGCATTCAAAAATCCCATTTTCTTTTCTCGTGCATTTTTAATTAACTCCGCCATTGCGTTTTTTATCCCCTGCTTGTCTGGTCTTCTCTATTGTTTTAGATGCAATTCCAGAACATAAAAAATAATTTTTAACCACTCCATATTTAAAACCTGCCACTGGTCCATATTATGATAGTTACTCCTTTTGAGATAATTTTTTTTTGGAAAATTGGAATAATATAGAGTATTAATACTTAATTCAATTAATGGCAACATGACTCACCTTCCTCTTGGTCTTATCCAACTTCATATAAAATAGTATTTTTTGGATTAAAAAACTTCCAAAATTCGCTAGAAAATGGGTCAAGGGAGGAGTGATGCCTAGTGTATGATAATCATTTACTCGATATAAAGCAAGTTCTTTTTAAAATGTTGTTGGTCCATATTCTATGACCGGTCCACATTTGACCCACTTACTCTACTCAATAATACGGAGAATAGTAGTAGAAGAAACGGAACGAAACCATCAGATTTATGTATAAGAGGAGTCCGATTGAAGTATTATTTTCTCTCCTGTTATAGTTATTGTGAATCCGAAAAATTTACGCGGAGACCTGAAATGGCCTCCGGACGACGTTAGACGAAAGATGCTCGACGAAGCCGAAAACGTAGCTAATAGTAATAGTTTCCTTTCTCTTCAAGGTGGCAAACATCTGCGCGGAGACCTGAAATGGCCTCCCGAAGAGGTGAAACAGCAGGCCGCCGAAGAGAACCGGCTGCGGCTCGAACTGGCCAAAGGGCCGGTCTGCAGGCCGCGCAAAGTCAAGCGGGATTACACTTCATTCTTCGAACAGCACGCGCTCAACAACACCTATCCCGGTTACAAAATCCCGCCCGGGACGCAGTTTTATAAAACCGCTTAGATTCTGTTTCTGTATATAATTATTTTTGTTTATTTTCTACTGCTATACTTACATCTTACCTATTCTATTCTAAGTGCGGAATTGAATGTTGTTGTTGTTGTTGTTGTTGGGTTAAAACTACCCGCGAAAAGTAGTTTAATTTGTATGAATTATAATGATTTCTAGCGCTGTAAATAAGCGACAATGCGCTTGTGATAATGCTGTTGAACTGATTTTATTTAATTGTACTAGCGTATAGATAACCAAGATGAAAATTATGGCGAATTTACTAAACAAATCGATGAATGTTGTGATTATTTTAGCAACGCGCCGCTTTTCTCACGAATTTTAGATGATTTTACTGATTGAAAGCGATTACCTACTACACGATGCGACGGCTTTGCTCTCGTGCAAAACACTCATATGTTATTTATGTATCAAAAATATATGTAAAAAACGTTCTTGTAAGATATTTGTACTATGTACGGTAACAAAAAAATTAATATAAATAAATAATAGGAAAAAAATTGCTTACCATAATTACCTTATTCCTTATTTATCCCAATAAAAGCTAATAAGTGTGCCCTTCTAGAAGATGAACCTTATTTGACGAAGTTGTTGAGCAGATGAAAAAATCAAAACATCCTCCTCCATCAATTCGTAAAAAATATATTTGAAACTAACTCCTACACGGTAAAAAAGAACTTTATTTTGTACAAATAGTAGCCGATGAGGGTCCACATTTGCGCCGACCAAACGTCGGACATCAAGGCCAGGAAATGGGTCCTCCTGGGGTCGCCGGTGGCGCGGCTGTAGTTGTGCAGGTACCAGCGCAACGGGAAATGCTGGTCGGTCATCTCGTGGCCAGCGTATATCAAGATCGTGTTCATTCCGGCGAAAATCAGCGGCGCCCCCGACCACCATTTCCGCATGTCGATCAGCACGTAGAAGATGCTGGTGGCGAAGAAGGAGAAGCTCGCGGTGGCCATGACGAACGACAGCGACCTGCGTTTGTTTGAGATAATCAGTCGAGCGATTATTGATTGCGGTTCGTTTTACCAGAGATTTTTATTGACTGGGATGATTCCGTCCTCTTTGCTGAAGCCGCATAAAGCCCCGCCGACGATGCCGGCGATTAGAGCCCAAGACAGCCAGCGGATCAGGCGGTGGTAGTGGCCTTTGTAGCACAACAAAGTCACGCCGGCTTGGGCGCCTATGAAGCAATGGAAAACCGTCGACAAACAACCTGAAATTCACCAGTTTTTCACTATCATTCCATCTACTTTTGCTGGTTTAAATTTACCCACTAATCCTTCAGGATCGTACGCTTTAGACTCGTAGATGATGGAGGTGGTGGGATTTTGGTAACGATGTTTCCCCAGGATTAGACCGTCTATGTAACCGGTGGCTCCTCCGACGCAGTCCACGTACGAGCGATTTTCGTGCAAACCCCCAGGTCCCAAGTAACCTCTACAAAATCATAGAATCATCTACATACCTCATCAAACATAGCTTGGCAGTTGGAATTTTGGTAAAAGATTCTTTTTTTGCAATTCTCCATTGTCAAGCTACATTGGATGAGGTACAAATGACAAGACACTACGAAAGTTAGTCAACAATTTCTTCTCTCTTACCTGGGACATCCAGGAGGTTTCACGCCAAAAACTATCACTGTATGTAACAACAACATGGCGATCACCACCATCCAGCCTTTCCACAATTTCAGTATATCCTTGAAGAACCCCTGAAAGAAAGTTGCTGGATATTAACACAGTTAAAACTCGTTGTTCGTTTACTAACATTGGTGTTATCACATGGTGATCTATCCATGGTGAAGACCATTATTATGGTGACAGCGCAAGAGGCGATTCCCAATCTTTGGAGGATGCCCATAATACGTAGGTAGTCCAAATCGGCTCCTCCGCCAACAAACACTCCAATAATGAAGAGTTTTAGAAACCTCTAAGAAGAAGATGCAACTGGTTAATGGTCTTTTGGTTCAATTTAACACTTACTTTGACTGCTGGAAGGATGATATCTTTATTGGAAGTGCCTTTTTTGAAATGGGTCGCCAACCCCAGGGGAATGCAAGCGCCCATAATCCACAGGAAACTCGGAAACACCAAATCGGCCAGGTGTAAACCGTTCCAATGCGCATGCTCCAGCACGTCGTAGCCGCCTTGACCGTAATTCACGAACACCATAACCACTGTAGCCAAACTAAAATGACTTTAAAGAGGAAAATTGCTAATGAAATCGAAGTGGTTTACCCTCTGTAGACGTCCAAACACCGGATTCTTCCCTTCTTCGGGACTTCCTCGGTCTTCTGGGCAACTTTCGGACGCGATTTGTACCTCTTCCAGCAGCAAATCGAGCCCAAAATCAGCAGGAACGACGCCAGGTATATCAAAAACACGGTAATTATCGCTGAAGAAAACCAATTACTATTCAATCGATTTAACCACCAGATACTTACGGGAATAAATATTGACCGGTTCTTTGAGGGTATCTACAAAGCACCCCGACTTATTCACGTCCACATTGTAAACGCCGAATTGCCCGAAAGGTCCTTTGATATCGCATATCACCCCATCACGATCCTCTTGAGGAAAATATTCTTTATGCACGGTGGAGAGTCGGAAAGTTTGGGCGGTTTTGAAAACGTTTTTCCCATCGCAATTTCTAATAGAACCGTTGCAGTAAGGCGTTCTCACATAGGGACACTGAAAATTCGAATACACTGCATTCGAGTTAACGTAGCCGTGACGTCACGACGGTCAATATATTAAGTTACCTTGTAGCATTCCTTGTTTAAGGTGTATAAGTAAACATCTTCCGCTATGGATTTGTTGTCGATATTCAGGTTTAGGTAGAATTGGTCCAGGGTCAGATCGGCTAGATTGAAGCCCTCGATGTTGTTCTCATCGTAGTCGTCGACGAAACACCACCGCATTATTTCGGGATTAAGAGTCGAGTGAACCAATCGATTACTCCTCGAGATTTATATTTACACAGTAGAAAGATCGATATCTACAAAGAAACAATCGGCGATAACGAACCAATTAGATATTAGATAATAATCGAGTTCTTGATGTTCGAAATGTGTACCGCTCGTGACCCACATGAAACTGTATAATTCGCGATGATAAAATTGCCGTTGTTTTGAGGTAAACGCAAGTGGGCCGGTGTGGAATTATGCTAGTTAAACTTACCTTTTATTCGATTATGATTTTTTTTTGGATTATACGTTGAGTGTGCACCGATGCAAGCAATCACAACAAACTGCAATTTGATATCCACGACACGAGAGAAATGGAAAGCGGCGAATTGGCTGTGGCAAAACTCGTCTTGTGAAGAAATATAAGCGTTGTAAATTAATGCAAAAGTCGTTTAACCTCGCAAGGTCTTTACTATAATGTAATCATAAAAAATCGTTTTAATTCTTCACATTCGGCAACTCCGCTTTCCCTTACACATATGTTGATTCGCTCGTTTAACTAAACGATTAATTAATTATCGATTTATCTGATTAATTAGAATATAAAGCGGTCGATAGCTACTCGAAAATTACTTGAGGTCGTTTATCAGTTTACACTTTGATACCTTTAATGGCTTCTGTTTAAATTTTATTTAATTGCCGCCTAATTTTAATCGCGTGATAATTAAAAAGCGATTTTTCTACTTGCACAAATACCTTTTCCGGGCCATCTTTTCCTCCTGTAGCTGTTCGAAACGCGAGAAATTTATCGGGAAAACCTACGCGGAGCTGTCGCATCGAGTTCAAAGTACACTCGACTGCTCTACATACATACATGTAGTAAAGGTAGAATGAATGGATTATGTGCGAGTATCGACTGTCGATGCAAATCCGAGTATATTGCAAATAGTGCATGCATACATATTATGATAGAAGTGCAAATGGAAAATCCTTGCCTTCAGTTAGGAATAATGGGATATCGGGGTGTTGGGATTCGGTGCACCGAATAGTAATAATCCCCTTTTGGTTCGTGTTTAATCATTAATCATTTACCGGAATTACAAGTGAAAATTTGTAGAATGGATGTTAAATTAATTTCGAGTAGATTAGAGTAGAATAGAATACAGTGGAGTAACCAGGAGAATGAAATTTGGAAAAGTAGAGGAGATTATTTTGTAACAGTCGTTACTGCACCTCTATATCAAAACAATTACTCCCACCTCTGTTAAACTTCTGTCATACTGTCATTAATGTCAATTTTGTCAGTTTTGTTATTAGCGTGTACAAAGCGAAAAAAAAAACAAGTAATTTACCGTAAAAAAGAGTAGAATTGAGTATAATAAAGTAGAGCAGTATCTTGTCTATGAAGTAGTAATCATGAGAACTATATTTGAAAAGTAACACATATTTTGTAACAGTAGTTATTGCACCTCTATACCAAAAAATATTTCCACCTCTATTAAACTTCTTCTAAAGAAATTTTAAGAATTTCTGTTTATGTATAATATCTTTGAACGCATCTTATGTCCTACTTATTAGCGTGTACAAAGCGAAAAAAATATAGTAATTTATCGTAAAAAAGTAGAATAGAGTAGAATAGAACAGGGTAATCATAAGAACGATACTTGGAAAGTATCGCTTATTTTGTAACAGTCGTTACTGCACCTCTATACCAAAGACATTATTCCCACATCTGTTAAACTTCTGTCATACTGTCATTAATGTCAATTTTGTCAATTTTCGTTAATGTATCATCGAACACATTTTAAAGTTCTACTTCTTAGCGTGCACAAAGGGAAAAAAATAGTAATTTATCGTAAAAAAAGAGTAGAATTGAGTAGAATAGAATAATCAGGAGAACGATATTTGAAAAGTAACGCTTATTTCTTAACAGTCGTTATTGCACCTCTATACCAAAAAATTATTTCCACTTCTATTAAACTTCTGTCATACGAAATGTCATTAATGTCAATTTTGACAGTTTCTGTTTATGTATCATCGAACGCATCTTAAAGTCCCACTTACTCGCATACAAAATTTTAGTCCTGCATAAAAATCCAGGTAAATTCGTTGCGGGATTTACGGCGCATTTATCTCAGATTTAACAACCCAAAATAGATAAAACCACAAATAACAAACATAAAAAAAATCTCATACACTGCTTTCTATAATTTAAAACAAAAACGCAAAACAAAACCATATCATTTAATTACAACCTAAAACCTATCAAGACTTACTACTCGCCGTGGTCTCCGAGCACCGGCTGCCGCCCTTCAGGTTCTCCTGTATCTCCTCCAAATTCAGCCCCTTCGTCTCCGGTATGACGAACACCACGAAGAATATGCTCGCGAACGCCAGCACCGAGAACGCCAGGAACGGCACGAACAATCCGAACGCCTCCTTGGTGTCGTAGAACACCTTGGCGAACAGCATCGCCAGCAGGCTGTAGTAGATCGTACCGATGCACAGCGCCTTGCCCTTGATCTTCCTCGAAAACACCTCGCCCATCATCAGCAACGGCACGATGCGGATGCCGATGCTGAAGAAGATCACGTTGAGGAACAGCGACACCAAAGGTATGACCTTGGCGCCGGTCATCGCGACGCCGGTGTAGTCCTTGAAGAAGAGGTACACGGACATCGAGAGCAACGTCAGGGCGCTTCCTGTAGTCGATACTAGAAGTAAAGGTTTCCTGCCGTAGACGTCCACTAGGAATATAGCCAATATGGACACCAGCAGTTGCAAGGAGAAGTAGATTATAGCCGAAACGTCCGAGGACAGGATGCTCTCGCTCTCGTGGAAGATTGTTTTGCAGTAGAAGGTCAAAGCGGTGGCGCCGCAACATTGCTGCACCGTCCTCAAACCGTATCCGATGAAAGTCGCCTTCCTGTTGGTCTTGTCGAGCACCAAATCCAAGATGCCGCACTCCTCCTCTTTGCTCTCCTCCAAGCTCTTGGTGATCCTCTCCAGCTCGGCGGCGGCCTCGTTCTTCTCGCGCAGCAGGTTCAACACCTTGATGGCCTTGTCGCGCTTGTTCTTCTGCAGCAGGTACGAGGGGCTCTCCGGCATCCAGATGAACGTGAGGAAGAGGATCAGAGGCAGCGAGCTCGCTATGAACGCCGCCGTGTCGATGGGGAATACGGACCCCAGCAGATTGATGCACAGCACGCCCACCACCACGCAAACCGGACACAACGATGTCACCAATCCTGCAACGCGAGGCGTAGAAGAGAGAAGCGGTAGAGGGTTCGTTTACCTCTGATTTTGGGTTCGGCGATTTCGGCGAGGTACATGGGCACGGTGGAGAAGGACAGTCCGCTGGAGATGCCGGCGACGAAGCGGGCGACGAAGAGGGCGGCCGAGCTGCGGGCGAAGCCGATGGTGATCCAGCCGATCCAGAGCGGCACGGCGGTGATGAGGATGATCTTCTTGCGGCCGAGGATGTCGGTGAGCCGGCCGGCGATGACGGCGCCGAGGATGGTGCCCGCCAGGAGGATGACCGCCAGCCAGGAGGCCTCGGTGTTGGAGATGCGGAATTTGTAGGAGCCGTCGGTGAGGGACGGTAGCGAAGGGGACGTCCAGCCGAAGTGCATTTCCGATGATATGATGCATATAGTGCCTGGAAATATGCGATGGAAATTGGTTGGGGTGCTAGAATAGGGCGCGGACTTCCGAGGCGAACTTCAGATGGTTTGACCTAACCTCAGAATCGCTCCAACCGAACATTCCTGACTACCAACCGAAGAAACTGACAGTTCCGTTTGACAAACGTCAAATAATTCGATTGGAATTTACCGTTAGATTCCTACGAGGACGGGAAATTTCCTCTCGCCACCGGCGAATTTCCCTTCTAGAAAGCCAGAAATTTCTTCCAGAAGGAAATTCGATCGGAAGAAATCCGCATAGATACCTGACATGGCGATGAGATACTGGTAGATCCGATGGGTGCTGAAGAAAATGGCGCCGATCGACGTTCGCTCGGTGCTGCCCATATTCAAGCGCTTCGACATGGTACTTTTCGATTTTTCCGCAAACAAATTTTCCGGCGAAACCGAAACTGATAAATACAACGTGCGTTGTACACTCGCCTACTGCAATTTGGACGGATTTACGCGAATTTTGACTTGAGGTTGTTGAATTTTTGGCCGAGGAAAATGTAACTTCAATTGACGAAATTAATGAAATTGCCGATGGATTTAAATACAATAACTTAACTAGCGTTGTCATGTGGGTACTATTATATGATAGAAGAAACTAGTAAAATGGTTTTCCAATGCTTTTAATTATTTCAGGATTATTCAGGAGGATTCGAAAGAGGATAATTCAAGAAAAAAATATACAAGATGACGATACGACATCATGATAGAAGCAACACAATACAAATAGAATGATTCAAGAAGTAGGGAAGAGGATTCAGGAAAAAGATACAAGGAGCAGGATACAAGGAAAACGATGCAATAGGTAGGGAACAGGATTCAGGGAAAAAGATCCAAGGAATAGGATAAAAATAGTAAAATACAAGAGGCAGGTTACAAGGAATATGATACAAGAAGAAGCATCCAAGAGGTAAAGAAAAGGTTTCAGGAAAAACCTTTCAAGGAGCAGGATAAAAATAGTAGGATTTAAGGAACAGGATAAAATTAGTTGGGATCCAAAAGGAGCTGGATTCAAAGGGTTACAGACGATAAGAAACAGGACACAAAAAGGTGGAATACAAGGAGCAGAATAAAATAGTATGATCCAAGAAGCAGGATACAAGGAATCCTCTACCCAGCAGTAGAAGAATGCAAGTATCAGACTAGGATATAAAGTGCAGGACACAACCAGTTAGGTTAGAAGGATATAAGCATGTAATAGATTTGTAAAAATGTAAAAATTAAAGGATTATACCTGAAACTGCTGCCATGCCCTGATATATCCTGTGCACCCCGAAAAACCGGAAATTCTTCATGATCGTAGGAAACTATCGTTCTAATAAAATCGGCTCATTCGGAATATCGAAGGGGAACTAGCCGGGCGATAAAACGACACAAAAGGTGTTTATAGAAAACGAATCGAAAACAATTCGATTTTCCACTTTCCGATTAGCTGCCTATCGTTGTTGCAAAACCGTTTTAATGGCCGTTACAGCAAGGCATGCCGGGGATTTTCCTCGTGTTTGTGTACACCTCGGTTATCGAACGCTATTCACTGCGAAAATATGCAGAAATCGCACCATCCTGGACGGGATTGATTCGTGGAAATTCCTTTCGAGATTGTAAGGTGTACATTTTTGTTATTTTTCCAGCGCTCGAAGAACACGATTTCGGTTTTTTTTTTCAATTTCGTTCGGTGGGAAATTACGTCGGTGGAATAGTTTGGAAATTGGCGATATTTCATCATCATCATCATCGGCGCGATTGTTGGAATTAATTCAAATCTCGGCGACAGTGAGAAGTTAATCGGAGCTATTTTTGGATGTTCTTAATTGAACAAACAAACAATAAATTTTTGCGTTGTATTAATATTTGCCACGGGTACCTATTTCAATTGACGTTACAGTCTCAGTTTTATTAGGATTTAAAGGATTTCCAGAATGTTTTTCCGTGTTTTAACTAAACATTTACATTTAAATAAAATACTACCAATTTAACAAATCGTTATTTAATCGTGGAATGAATTTGGGGGAAAGAATTAGGGCTTTAAGGAATTCGACTCTCCGTTAATTCTGAGATGGATTGATAATTTCATAAACATTTTTCACAAAATAATTGGTCACTAAACAAAGATATTCTGTACAAATGTTCTTTTTCTTATTTGTAACTTTAACAACTTGTAATTTCTTTATTAAGCTCTTTAGGATATAGGTAGATTAAGTTAACCCATGGTCCCAACCTTTTTGCGACACCCTGTATATTCAACATGTCTTATAATACTCTTCCAAGCCAGAATACAGAAAATCTGAATCCATTGCGCCGTTGATTTCGTTGATTTCGTTGATTTCGTTGGCAAAATCCTCGAATTTCGCGATAACGGAACAATGGAACTTCGATATCTGGCTATATAACGTCACGTTAAAAAAAACAGGCGATTAACTGGCGATTAGTACCAGGCGATATGTATTTTATATAACGATTTCGGTAACAGTCAAGGTGACTCCTTCCAAGACCTGCAAATAATACCATTTTCTCCGCATAAAAAATATTTGCCCGAAACGCTAAAAATAGACGAAGCCGAAATTAGCGAAATTAGAAAACACTTTTGCTGACAATTCTCAAATATGTATCGATGGATTAGTGTTGGGCAAATTAAATACTCCAAGAGCGTAATTGAATTTTGATCAAATCCGATAAAGCAGGGACGCCTCTGGAAAATATTGTACCAGTTTCAACTTCGTTATGCAGCAATATTTTATTAATACGCATATTTACCAATATACAAGGTGATTCATAGTACTCCTTTATCTCGTTCACTTACCCTTTGTGATGCAGTAACATTTTATAATCACTCATATTAACCATTATACAGGGTGATTCATTGTACTCATTTATCTCGTTTGCTTTTAAATGCTCGTATTTACTAATATGCAGGGGATTTTATTACACTCCTTTATCTCACTTTCCCTTAAAAAATGCTATTTACCAATGTACAGAGTGTTTCATTGTACTCCTTAATATTGTTTTTTTTTAAATGCTCATATTTTCGCATATACAGGGTGACTCACGATGCGCTTACAATGAAAACAATCATTTTAAAATGCGCTCTTGTTTGGTATAATATGTAATTTGAATTTCATCGGATTGGCGTCGAACAAATCGATCCATTAACGCGCCAGTTGCAATTAATGGACGTCAATTAGGCTCGTTGTAGTTTCGTTTTCGAAGGTCACTGGGCTCTAATCTTTAACGCTTACCAATTAAGAGCAATTACTATTGGCAGCCATTTTCGTTTTGGGCTCATTCATAGTTTTCCCAACTGGCGAGATGTCGTGTGATGAATGGAGAATAACGGGGAAAAAGGTGCAATGGTTGGCGACGGTGTCAGGCAAGTATTTGTTTAAAAATAATATTGGGAAATAGTTGGTGAAAGTTTTTCATATGGAGATAAATTTGGCCTGCCTAAAAAAGTGAAATTTTGTAAAATTGTAAGGTAGTATTCACTTGGTAAAAATACTTCTTTGGTAGATGATTTTTTATCATACTTTTTAATGATGAAGTGTAGTATCTCCCTTATTTTCCCTGGTAAATACTTTAATGATGAAGTGTAGAATCTCCCCTAATAAATAGATAAATAGATTTAAAAAGATAACATTTCTGTTTGGTATCAATGATGTTTTAAGCTTTTAAGATCTCAACTAATATTGCATTACTACTATTTTTTATACTTTTCCCTAATTATCGAATTCCCTTAATTCTTCAATTGATTTGCTTTTCGAATCTCCTAAGTCTAAATGATCTTCGAATTTTCCTCAAAAAATCACTTCTATAGCCGGTCCTGATTTAGATAGCTCGACTAAAATTTTTATCAGTGTTATTTTTGCTTAATTTTCACGTATTTATTGCGTATAAAGGGACTATATAAAAGGTGGATAATACTTTCCACAACTAAATGGCGAACGGTTTCGTTCTTTGAATCAAAAATTTACAAATTTTCCAAAACTTTGGTCGCGCTTTAACCACAATTCAACCAATTGTTAAGCATAATTCAAAAATTCAATAAACAAGCGCAAGCTTAAAAAATTGATTGTTGAACGACCAGAAATTTGGTAAAACAAAAATGAAGTGCTTTACGAGATTATTAAATAACGAAACCGGTAGTACTGTCTTCCAATACCTAGCAACAAGCCTCGGTAAGTATCTATCTTCACATCCCTCCGAATTTTTTTTCATAAACTCATCCAACCATTCCAGCCATGCTATCGATCGTATCCAGCGGCCTCCACTACGGCTGGCCCTCGCCCTCCCTCAAGAAACTCCTCGCCGACGGCTCCGCCATCCCCATCACCGACGACCAGGGCTTCTGGCTGGCCACCATGAACATGTTCGGCGCCCTGCTCGGCTCCATCCTCACGCCCTTCCTCATCAACAACATCGGCCGCAAGAAGGTCATCCTGCTGGCCGCCGTTCCCTACTTCGCCGCCTGGATGACCATCTACATCGCCTGGAACGTGACCGTCCTGCTGGCCGCCCGCTTCGTGGCCGGCGTCTCCGACGGCATGGCCTTCTCCTCGGTGCCCATCTACACCGGCGAGATCTCCCAGGCGAAGATCCGCGGATCGCTATCCTCGCTCTGCTCCATCACCTTCATCGCCGGCATACTGATGATCAACATCGTAGGGTCTTATCTATCAATCAAAACCACTGCTTTGATATGCTCCACTGTGCCGGTGGTACTCTTCTGCACCTTCGCTTGGATGCCGGAGTCGCCTTACTACTACATCATGAAGAATCGACTGGAGGGTAAGTGATGGGGTTCCAGCGATTCGTTGGTGTTTAAAGTAAGATTTCGCAGACGCCAGGCGTAGTCTGCAGACGTTCGTCGGTCCGAAGCTGGCCTCCAGCGAGCTCGAGCGCATCCACCAAGCGGTGAAAGAGGACCAGTCCAAAGCGAAGACGAACCCCGTCGAGTTGTTCACGGTGCGCAGGAACCTGAAGGCCGTCGGCGTGATGATGATCGTGCGCGGCGCCCAGCAGTTCAGCGGCGTCTCCGCCATCGTGTTCTACGCGCAGAACATCTTCGGCGAGGCGGGCGGCGGGCTGTCCGCCGAGGCGGCCGCCATCGCGTTCTTCTCGGTGCAGATAGCCACGTGCATCGCGTGCGCCGGCGTGGCGGACCGCTGGGGCCGGCGGCCGCTGCTGCTGGTCTCCACCGTGGGCTCCTGCGCGGCGCTGCTGGTGGAGGGCGGCTACTTCTACGCGAAGACGACCGCCGGGGCGGACGTGGCGGGGTACGGGCTGGTGCCGGTGGCGGCGCTGCTGGCGTACATCGTGTTCTTCAGCGTCGGGTTGCAGAACGTGCCGATCATCATCATGAGCGAGATCTTCAACCAGGACGTGAAGGCGATCGCGATGGGGTTCGCTGATATATATTTCGCGTTCGCGGCGACCGTCACGTCGAAGTTCTTCCAGGAGACGAGGGACCGGTTCGGGATGTATTTTCCGTTCGTTTTCTTCGCTTTGTTCTGCTTGACGGCGACGGTTTTGACGTATTTCTTCGTGCCGGAGACCAAGGGGAAGACGTTGGAGGAGATCCAGGAGCAGTTCAAGGGCGTGAAGGGGAGAAATGGTGGCGGTGGGGCGAGCGAAGAGGGGGATGTTATCCCTTGAATTTGGCACGAATGATATAAATAATAATTGATTCTTATAGAAAATGCCGATTGTATCTTAACAGGTACCTAATTGTTGCTGAGCAACAACTTTAACTAGTGGAAATGTTGTAATCGTTGGTAGATATTATTTTCTTAATGTCAATTTAACACTGGTTTTGTATTATTTTTTTTTATGTACAGAAATAGTATCATAATTTTAGCTGGTGTTATTTTTTATATAGAACATTTTGAATGCGGAATGTAATTATAAAGAAATGTTTAACTGAATTTAAAAATTTGATGACTCTATTAAGGATTTAAACAGGCCATTGGTTATTTGGCTATAATCCTGCAAATATTTTACTATTTAGAAACATGTTTTGGGTAAAAAAATGTGTTAAAAACTACATTTTTATTAGTAGAAATATTTTATTTTTTTATAAACCTATAGGTAATAAAGTCGAACAAAATGAAATTAAAACAGTTTCATACCGATTGCTCGTTCATATACAAATCGCACGATCCGGCCCTGGAGAAATACTGCTCGCATCGCCGGGAGGATTTCCAATTTACGGACATATTCACCTTGACTCAGATCGCTCAGAGCCGTTCGGATTGTTCTCGTTTTCTGCCATAATACCTTATTACTTCATCAGATTTTTGCAAAAAATTCGCCAACCAAATCGCCTCGTCATCTCGTCGCGTGGGGGAAAGCTGCGCAATTTTCACCTAAACCATCTACTGACAAAAAAATTCACAAAAAATATTCCCCCTTATCTTTCAACCAGATTAACTTTATTATCTCAACAAATACTTGGTTTACAACGTTTAAAGAACTGATTTGTACTAGTTTAATGCACAGAAATATCCTATCTAGTACCTTTTGGTGCTAGAATAGGCACTATTTAACGAGGAAAGTACCGGGAATAAAAGCAGTAATAAAACCAGTAGCTTAACTAGTAAAAGGCCTTTGAAAGAAGACTGTTTCAAGTCCTTCCCGCAACAGTCTCAGCGATATATTTTGCGCAATTTTCCCGCTGCATTGTGGATTTGCGGCTCGATGCGGTCCTGTTTTACAAATCTTCGATTCTCTCGTACAGGACTATAATTAAAAGAGAAGTCCACTATTTCATCGCGCGGTGATTTTTCTCTCGCGAAATTCTACGCGAATTCAAATCGTCCGCTGTGTATCGAGAACTAGAATAGGTCCGAAACGCGTCGAATCGGCGCGATTTCTCGAGGTTTTCACGGCGAAAGCGGCTTTTCCCGCGACCGTTTCGAACCGGCATGTTTATAACATTATCGTGTATTTAATTGTTAGAATTTATTAGGTGAGTTTTTTTAGTGTATGGAGATCAGTAGGGGGTACCTATATGCGAAAATGGGAAATATATTTTTTTTCATTATCTTATCTTAATTAGCGGTTATGAGTGCTTAATTCGGTACACTCTGCTTTTTGGATATTTAAATATTTATTCTAGTAATTAAACTAAATACAATTGCGTTTTCCATCTAGTACATAAATATAGTTTCCTCTGGTAACCTTGGCGTGTAAATTTTCATTCTGTCACCTTGTTGGAATTTTTTTAAAGTTACTATTTAGTGTGTCACGGTTACAAACCTAGTGTCAGATACATAACATTTCTGATTATCTATCTACTTATATGGTAAAAAAGTAAAATAAATATAACAAGTATGCATAAAATTGTAGACATTCCGAGTCGACTTGTATGTGTTTATAGCGAGGAAAAACCCGGGAAAATACAGCTGAGTTTGATAACTCTTCTGGCGGAGACATGTTAAGGTCTAGTAGACTTTTTAATTAAAGTTTTCAACAAACCGTGACATAGGAAAATGGAAAACTACATGAAATCCAACAGAAAATAGATATATTTTATTTAAATTCCTACATATACCACCTTCATACATACATTCGCTTTAATTAATCAACTGCAAATTAATCAAATTAACGAACCAATCGATGAAAATTCTGCATTTTCGCTAACAAATTTTCACAATTCCTGCGACTTTCCAGTCCACGAGCGCTTTATATTGTGTCAGCAATCAAAGCGCTAACCCTTGCGCAAATATTTGATCGCTTTTTTTTTTAATTGCAGCGTCGAAACAACGCTTTGATAGCGGCGATTCAAATCCTTTCGAAAACATTTCGTCAATGTTAACGTTGAATTAGCGATTGTCAAGATCAAAAACCATGCTCGTCGCGATCGGCTCGTTGTGTTTGCGAATTAGCGACGTTTGGATAAGCGATTAAAATAGTGGATAAAGAGCGGGCGAATAAGGAAATCGATTTGGATGTTCAGTTTCGCGAACGATTATGGGAATCCGCTGGTTTTGTATCTGGTGAGTTTTGATTTCGTTTCGGCGGTGTACCGTTTATTGCGAGGAATGAGATGGGGCTTTCGAAGCGAAGATTTATTGTGTTTGAGTGATATTCGCGAGGGGAATTTAGATAACATTGTTATTGAAATTAACTTGTGTTGCGTGTAGGATTATTGACAAAGGGGTTATTAACATACCAATTATTCGTTAACTCATTCAAATTATTTTGTAAATAGTTCATCTATTGTACTAATTTAGATTAGTTCTATTTGCTGCTATTGAAATTGGTATTTTAACGACAATGTTTTAGGTGGAAGGAGATTCCAAAAATCACACTTGTATAATTTCTCTTTCCACAAATCACACTTATATGATTTTTCTTTCAAAAATTCACTCTTGTAAATTTTTCTGACCAAAAATCACACTTGTATAAATTTTTCTCTCCAAAAATCACACTTGTATAAATTTTTCTCTCCAAAAATCACACTTGCATAAAGTTTTCTTTCAAAAAATCACACTTGTATAATTTTTTTCTCCAAAAATCACATTTGTATATTTTTCTCTCCAAAAATCACACTTGAATAAATTTTTCTTTCAAAAAATCACACTTGTATAATTTTTCTCTCCAAAAATCACACTTGCATAAATTTTTCTTTCAAAAAATCACACTTATAAAATTTTTCTCTCCATAAATCACACTTGTATAAATTTTTCTTTCCAAAAATCACACTTGTATAGTTTTTCCTTAAAAAAGATCTCACTTGTATAATTTTTCTCTCCAAAAATCACACTTCTATAAATTTTTCTTTCAAAAAATCACACTTGTATAATTTCTCTTCTTGTATTTGCAGTTTATTATTAAATCTGCTGCGTTTAGAATTAATAAATGGGCGACAAACGGGCAATCAATGCGAGTTGTTTCAAAATTCTACGAGCTTGAAATGCCACAAAGCCTATCCGCAGAAACTCCCCATCGAGAATGCTAAAATTACCAAACTTTACATATCGAATTTGCCTTGGGACATTCTGAACTTTACACGAGTCCTTAGGGAGTTTCCCAATTTGGAGGAACTATTCGTCGAATATTGCGATATTAGGAACTTCGTGTACGCGCCGAATAGCAACAAAATTAAGGTAAAATCGTACGAATTCGATTTATAGTGATGTAAAAAGTGTTGCCTATACGTTTCAGGTGTTGTCGTTACGTTATAATCAAGTGAGCCGTTTACCGTACGATTTCGTTCGAAACTTTCCCGATTTGGAAATCCTGAATATCGAGCACAATCTTCTAACCCACTTGGAGAAAAACTTTTACTTGGGAAAACTCCGCAAGTTAACCATTAAAAGTAAATAAATAAATACTATCGCTGTGTTACTAGAAACGTTCCAAAATAACCGGTTATTTTGTCACCGATTCGCAGATAACCCGTGGAGATGCTCGCTGGACCTGACGTGGGCCGTCCAATTGGACCGCAGGATAGCGCAGGACTTGGCCAACTTGACTTGCAAGGAGATATTCGCGGGGAAAAACCTAACACAAATCGCCGGTTACAAAGAGGTCTGTGTTAATATCCTCATATCATATCCACCGGCATAACTGTAATCCGATTTCAGGAGATGTACAGGAACTGCACCCAATCGTGCGAATGCACGCTCGAATACGTCGCTCAGGACTTTCACACGGACGTGCAACATCCCATAATAATGGTGAATTGCTCCGGCAGGGGGCTGAAGCAGCTGCCGACGCAGCTGCCGCCTTACACGAGGATCCTGCACTTGGAGCGCAACGAAATCAGCGACTTGAAACCGCTGAAGACGAACCCATTGTTCAAGACCTTGTGGGACCTGTACCTCGACAACAACACCGTCAGGTCGATTTCTTACCTGGAGGGGTCCTTTTGGTTGCGGCATTTCAGGGTGTTCTCGTTGAGAGGCAATCTACTGCAGAAGGTTAGAGGGATATTTTTGTAATTGGCGTTCGGAATTAGTTACGAAATGTTCGCAGGTACCGTCTTTCGTGCTGGATAACGCTCTGATGAAGAATCCCCACATGCCCAGCGCGGTGGTGTTGTATCTAGGGAATAATCCTTGGAGGTGCGATTGCATTTTTGTGCCGGTGTTTCAGGTGAAGGAGTTTGAGATTTGGAATTCTCTTGGTTAATTTTATTTTTCAGGAATACGTCCTGCAGAAATACTCGAACCGAATCGCCGACATTAACGATGTTAAATGCAAGTACGTGGAGGGAGATGAAAATTCACTGTTGCCTGTAAGTATGGAGATATACAGTGTGTTTTTGGATGGGAAAGTCCTGCTTGGTGAAATAAGTTTGCTGTATTGAAATCTGGAATCTGATGTACAGGATGTCACATTATTTATACAACAATTTACATGAATTGTTTCCCCTCTTGTACTCCATCCAGGGACACAGGAGTTTGTAGTAAATTTGAACACAATTCGAATTTTCCAGATAATAAACCTCTCCAGAAGCTCAGTGTGCATTATACCATCCGATTTTTCGCTCCAACAAGGCCTGGACATATTAAACGCGGTATTAGCCAGCCTAATTGTTTTCGTTTTAGGAAAATTAGCGTACGATTACTACCATTTCAAAAAATCCGGAAGGCTACCATGGATAGTAACGAAGATGCCTTAAATTGTAAAAATTCGAAATAAACTTACCTACACACTTATCGACTTATTAAACATTCCGTTATAACCCCTCGTTAGAATCTAGCGAACTAGTTTTTCGCAATATTTAACAAGTTCATCGAGCCAATTCGTTCGGATGGTTCGCAAATTGCCGACGGCAATTATTCAGTCAACTCCGGAAACGTCTTGAAGAAAGTAAAAGTTGGAAATCCACGGGGATGTGTGCGCGATTTGGCGCGAGGGTAGGGAGGAAGTGAGGACGATTCCGAGCGCATTCAAATGAAAGTGTCTTCGTTTTATTAAACGTTTTTTTAGAGTGAGAGTAAACCGGCGAAGGCGACGGTCGCTTCTTCTCATTTACAATCCAGCGGATTCGATTCCCTCGTTCGCGGTGAACGTGAATGTGACCCGAGCCTCCAATATACAGAAATGAAGGTGAGTACTTTCTTTCTGCTTTCCCGTCGAATTCAACGGACGGGCGGGCGGATTGTTTTTATTTATTTATTTTTTTATTTTTTTAAACGGTCGTTTATACGTTCATCGGATGGAAAAATTATGTTAACTGCTGGTATCGGTTTTAATGATGATGATTAGGGGCCGTTCGCGGTCGGTATTCGTGGGTTTGTCGATTGAATGGTTTATTATAAATTCCGTTTTTGCCGCACAATCGGAGGATTGTTGGTGAAATTGTTTTATTTACGATCGATTTCATATTAATAAACTTTCGATTGACCCATCAAATGTTTAGTAAATGTATGTACAGTGTGAACGTCATGTATAATGAATAAATTAGTTTTAGATTTTTTAAATTGTATACAGGGTGTTAATTAATTGAGTAACGATATTTTAGGATGTGAATATTCAATATTTGAGTGATTTTAAGAAGAAAAGTTTATATCAATGTATGTCCTAAACCTCTTAGTTTTCGAGCTACAAGATGTTAGAGTTTTAGAAAAAAAATACTTTTCTATCATAATTTTCTTATTATTCCAGATATTTTTTTATGAAATTTCGGACGTGAACTTCACTGGTAATAATAGAAAATTAATTTTTGTCCCAAAAAAAGTGTTTCCATGCATGATGGGCGCCTACTAAATTTCAACAAAATATCAAAAGCAATTTCAATGAAATTGGGAAAAATTGTTTTCGTTTTTATTTTTTTAAGCGAAAATGGTGCGTCGTACGAAAGAAAGTCTTTGTACCGAATTTGCTCCAAAATAAATGAGGATTTTCAAAATAATTTTAGTTTTTAGAAAAAACAGTGGCGTATCATTTTTTCTTCGAACATAATCAGTTCAAACCCCCTACGGACGTCACTGGTAAAAGTTTGAAAAAAATCTTTTGGCCCAAAAAATGCTCCTTAATAATTAAAAAGTGTATACAAAATTTCATAAAAATATCTGGAGTAATAAGAAAATTATGATAGAAAAACTATTTTTCTAAAATTGTAACACCCTGTAGCTCAAAAACTAAGAGGTAAATAAACTTTTCTTCATAAAATCGTACAAATATTCACATCCTGAAGGATGAGTACTCAATTAATTAACACCCTGTATATTAGTAACTTCAATTTTTCCCCCCTAACTGAAACCTAACTTGAAACCTAATTTTACAAATTCATACACAAAAAAATTAAAATTCAAAAAAATACGAGTTATAGATTATTTTTATTATCATTGAGTAGGTACAATTTCTTACCAATCTTCCACCACAAAAACAGTCCAATTAAATACCAATTAAAATGAGTTGTGCTGAATAATTTTTTTGTTACAGGCCAGTGTTTGTTTGTTATGCCTCTGCGGCTTAACGGTGATAACAGAAGCAGTAAAATCCACCATTTACGCGCCCTTACACGTGATCAGTTTGGACGATATAACACCCAGTGAGCGGCGACAAATCGCCTATTTGGAACAAAAACTGGAAAGAGCCAAAAGGTGAAATAATTTCTAATATTTCATTTTATTATCATAATTTTTATTATAATATTTTATTGCCCATTCATCTATATTTTATTGCTTTTACGCAAAGTTTTCTACCAACCGATAGAGAATGGTGCATTAAGAATTTCGCTAGGAATGCACGCGTATATTTTATCAAAAACCAGTGAAAGTTTGGAAGATTATAAACACTCCGTTGCGTCATTTTTTTAGCATAAACTAATTGAATCCATCTCACTTATCTTCTCGGCACTCAATCTACTTCCTCGTTAGAAAACACCTATGATAAAAAAACCGCATTTACACCGAATCTACAACACTCCTAATATGTTAATAATTAACAGATCCGGCGCGGATTCCGGCTCCGGCGCGATCCTAAACATAGTAAAAAACTCGATCGGAAACACCATCAAAAAGAAACTAACGCAATTAACCAGAGCATCGGCCGCCGCTTCGGGCCAATTCAGCAAAACCAGCAGCCGCAGCGAAGACGATTACCACCATTATCCCCATTACCACGAAGAGGTACACTCATTTCATAACAATTTATAGCACTTAGATAAAATACAGTAAACGAATTCCATGCAGGTCCACCACCACGAGCCGCACCACCACCAGGAGCCCTCCTTCGATTTCTGGTACCTGAAGAAATCGGTTCTGAACACGTTGCTTCAAGCCGTCAAGGCGATCAAAGGCGGCGTGATAGCGATCAAGGGCCAGCTGATCAAAGGCGGCGGCAAGCTGGTCTCGGCCTCGGGGAAGCTGGTGAGCGCCAAGGGCGAGGCCATCACGAGTTTGGGCAAGAACATCGCGATGAACGCCATATTGGTGCCTTACCAAGCGTCTTCGTCCAACAAAGGCGCGCATTATACAGGTAAAACGCCACCAAATTCATGAAGTTTGTGATGCAATAGTTTCGTTTAGATCACGGAGAGGTCGAAGCTCACTACCCAGGTCCCAGCGGGCACGAGGAAGTTTACCACGGGGATTCCTCGGGTCCCGGTTACGATTACCATCAAGCGCCCGTCGAGACCCACCATCACGAACACCAGCATCCCTACCACGAAGAAGGTAAGAGAAGAAGCAATTACAATGCATCTGCTACGGTTGATTCGTGTTTCAGGAGCTGGGGGGTTGCTGATACTTAGAAAGGTAGCGAACACGCACCAGCACCAGGAGTCGTACCATCAGCAGGAGCAACACGTGCATCCGAGGCAATCGGCGAGCGCCAGCTCGATCTTCAGCAAATTGCTGTCGGCCTCCTCTTCGCTGGATCCCCACAAGCCGGATTTGTACGGGGACAACTACGAGCATGACGGGGACAACGAGCTGGCGTCCGCGCCTTCGGAGCACAAACCTCGCGAGGTCGTCCAATCGCTCAAACCCGCCAAACAGCAGAGCTTTATCAATCAATTATTACCAACGCAGAAACCCTTGAGCGAAGAGAATAGTCATAAGTACGGGATCAATCAACTATTACTTACCCAGAAACCTTTGAGCGAAGAGAATAGTCATAAGTACGGGATCAATCAATTATTACTTACCCAGAAACCTTTGAGCGAAGAGAATAGTCATAAGTACGGGATCAATCAATTATTACCTACCCAGAAACCTTTGAGCGAAGAGAATGGTTACAAGTACGGGAGTCAGTTTGTAGAGCCTGCGGTCAGGCCTCTGTCGCTCTATTTGGAGAGTCCCAAGTTGGAGTATTTGCAGCCTACGCCGAATGATACTGGTTCGAATTTGGAGTACTTGGTGTCTCCTTTGGGCGAGTTGGGCCCGGAGCAACAGCAGGCCCCGTCGAACCAGCCGTATTTCTACAAGTACCAAACCTCGCAGGAGATGAGCATAGTACCATCGATATCGTACGAAATCAAACAGAACGCCAGGCGAAGAATAACGTAGATTTAACTATTTATGTATCTAGTTTTTTATGTAGGATTTTTAGTGTAAAAACAATACAAATTACCGGTAGTTTTCACTGCATTTTAAACGGTATTGATGCTATTATCCTCCTCAGCAACGCGTCCCAAATGATAGTACGATTAAAATAAAACACGTTCAAAATATATTACAAAAAAAAAATCATTCAAAAGGACTAGATTTCAAAGGAAAGTTACACATCAATTTAAGTAAATCGGCAGTGGATGCGCTTCGGAATTGACCACGAACTTGTCCAAGTCCAGCAATTTGGGATCGTCGCTGAACAGCAAGTACAGATACTTGAGCGTCTCCGACAGGAAGAACGACTCCATCATGTCCTTCGGTCGAACGTTCGCCGCGTTCTTCACGTTACCGATCGACGTGTACCCGTTCAGCACCCGCGTGTAGTTCTCGAACCCCCGGAATATCCGCCAGCCCCAATCCTGGTAAGTCGCGTTGCCCGTCAACTGGTACATGTACCACAAGCTCTCGATGAACTCCGGTCGCAGGAGGTTGTGCGCGTCGTTCGATTTCACGTACATGTCCTTCGGCTTTGTGTTCTCCGACTTGAAACACAAAAGTTTGGCAGATTGAAAATATTACATATTTCATAAAAATATTAGATGCTTGGTAGATTAGGTGTAGGAGGCGGTAGGGTGGAGTAAGATGAGGTAAAAGGCGAAGCTGGGAGGGGCAGAGGATTGTAGAAGGGGTTAGGGATTTGGTGAAAGAAAGTAGAAGGTGCTAGGTAGGAGTAGAGGCGTTTAGAAGGGGTAGATAGAGGCAGGAAGGCGTAGAGAAGTAGTAGAAGGGAGTGGGAATGGGTAGAAGGTTGAATGGGATAGGTAAGGAGGGGCAGAGGATTGTAGAAGGGATTAGGGACGGGTAGAAGAGGAGGTAGGGAGGGGCAGAGGTTTGTAGGGGTTAGTAGGGATGGGCAAAGGTTTGTAGGGGATGGTAGGGATGGGCAAAAGAGAGTAGAAGAGGCTAGGTAGGGGTAGAGTAGGGAAAAATGGGGTAAGTAGGAATAGGTAGAGGTAGAGTTGGTAAATTGGCTCCTGCTGACTCTGTGGCTAGGTAAACAAGCGAATAATGACGGTGTTGCCACGTTTGCTATTTTTCCACGAGAAAAACAGTCTACCTGTATATTAAAGTAGGTGATTTCCGGCGCCAAGAAGGTGGGTTGTTGGGCGTACGTTTGATAACAGGTGTTTAGAAGATCGAGCGCCAAGGTCCAATGCTCGTTGGGTAAACCGTTGTGAACTCCTAGAGCCAACGTTCCGGGTAAATAGCAGGTGAGATGGTCCATTTTCGGTTTGAATTCTTTACCGCCCGCCAATAATTCGCCGATGAATACGTAGCCGTTCGGCTCGGTTTTTCTCAACAGGTGTTTCTCTATTCCTCGAATGCTCTCCAAGTAATCGTCTTTTAAGCTGGAAACAAGCGAAATGGTAATCTAGCGCGGATATATTTACGATAGTGTACGTACGAATCTAGCATTTTGCCGGTCTGCACCCATTGCTTAAGCAGGTACTCGTAATAACTATCACCTCGAGCACCAATGGTTATGGTGGCGTAGGATCTAAACTGGCCGGTGTTGGCGTTAATAAAAATCGGCACCAGCCCGTCTTTTTTCTCTAACTTGTGAATTAACCTAGATACGTTATACACGGCTTCCTGCAAAACATTCGCATTAGCCTACTAGATTACGGCGCGCGTTTGAGCTGTGTTTACTTCGTATTTGGGATTCCCCGTTACTCTACTTAAGTCTCTAAATTCTAATTGTATAGTAGTTACTTCCGACGTGCTGCTATCCGGCGACCATTTGGGCGCGTGCGGTTTCCTCGTGAATAAATTTATATCGGAGTACGGAATGCCTGATTCGGAACCGAAGCACGGTAACAGCCTATCCGCCAGTTCAGTCTAAAACCAAATTAAACGCAAATAAATGTATTAATAGGCTGTTAGAAATGCGCTCGTACCGCCTTCTTTAAGAACATATCATCCTTACTAAAGTGGTATATACTAAGTAATCCGCCTAAAACACGGATGGTTACTTCGAACAGATTCACGTCTCGATTGATATCGAAATTCAGGTGCTTCTCGACCCAATCTCTGCCCTCGTTGTATTCTAAAATTACGACTATTAAATACTTTTGTAAACGTTTAAATAATCGCGCTAACCGTCTTTGAGGCCCATTATGAACATCGTATCCAGCGAGTCTACGATCGTTAGGCCCAATCCGAACCAATCGTTGTAGGTCTCGGAAATGGGCTTGAGGTGATCGTGACCCCAAGCGAACTTCTTGTACCCCTTCCAAGCGTGCTTGAAAGCCTTCACCACGGCCTTTTGCTTGTCGGTCGTGGGGCCTGAAAATGAATTGGTATCAAGCGAGTCGATTCGATGGGTTTAGTGTTTGTTTACCTAAAAATTTGCTATCCCCTTTTATAGCAACGTGGTTGTTTTCTACGTTGTTTCTTAGACTTTTGCTTTCTAATTCTACATCTTTTTTTAGTTCTACATGCTCTAAAGCGTCTTCTACCAATTTGGGGGCTTCTATGAAGTTCTTAACGGCGTATTTGCTTTCTAGTTGTTCGTTTGTGTTGGCGAGCACCAGGGCTTCGTCTTTTTGATTGAGGAAGTTCAAAATGCCGAATATTATCATTAGAACGCAACATAACAGGGTGGTTTTCTGGCATTTCGATAGCTGGTTCCAGCTCTAAAATACAAGCGGTTTACGATTGGGATGTTCGAAGAAGGTAATGAAAGAGAATGGTTTTGGAAATTGTGGGTTATACGTACCCTTTTTAAGTGTATTTTTCTTCGTTTATCACCGGATGAATCCACAGAAGGCACATTAAGGGATAGATAATCATTTCGAAAATCGACCATTGCTTTATTTATGTTTATATCGAATTATTCCGGCTTGGTGATGAGTTTGAAATACATGTTCATGTTGTATTGCTATGTAAATGGTGATTAAATTTGGAACGTCTTATCAAAATTGTAACGTCAGTTGTATTTCCCTAATTTATTAATTTATTCAGATTTTTGACAGATAAATAACCTATCCGCTGCTTCGTTACAATCGGCCTCAGTTGCTATTGCTATTCGGTCACCATTGTGATTGTCATAAATGTCATATTAAATAAAACGAAGAAGATAATAATCGTAAACGTTTTTTTTTTTTTTTTTCATTCAAAATTAACCCACCGGTCTAAAAGCGTACGGCTTACGTTCTGGTTGGTGCTTCCAATTCGTGTTGACGACCATATGCTTTATCAGCTGTAACTCGTTCGGCTTGCTTTTGTAGTAGGCCTTGATTGCCTCCTTGTTGCAATGCATAAACTCGACCATGTCCATGCACTCTTGGACCGGCCCGAGTTGACTCAAGCACGCCTGGTATTCCCTTATGATTTCTCTGTTCAGATGCTGGCTCGTCTTGGCTTTTATATCGTTAATCGCGCGATGTAAGTCGACTAACCCGTTCGGGTGCAGCACCCCTTTCTCCACGCTTCGGCATCTCAGCAGGCATGACATTTTTTTGACAGGCAGTTCTTTCGTTACTTGACTGGCCTGGATGCCGTAGTGCATTAGACAACTGTCCATTTGCTGGTTGTTGCCTTCTGTTTGCTACAATAAAATTTTATTTTATAGTTTAGAGTAAATTATATACTATACTAAATGGCAATAATTCTTGGTCGTGACGTCACTAATCAGTATGAGGTTTTTATTGGTCGGAATTAAGATGTATGTCACCTGTCACTAATGATTGGCAGTTAGCACAAAAATTTATTGAAGCATTTTGTTATTAGGTAAGCATCAGTTATTTTTAGTTTTTGCCAGTGAATATAACGTTTAAATAAGTAAATATGTAATAAATAATCACGTGCCGTGGTGAAAGTGACAATTAAATAAGCAATTGTCAGGAGATCCCATCGATAATAATGCTTGCACTTCATAATATCACAAACGCTTTATTCTGCTTATTATCGGAATTTATTTTGAGCGAATAAATGATAAATAAGAAATGCAATTTCGCGTTTTAGTTAATTTACCATTCAAGCGGTAAATTATTTTTTTTTTAATTCGCTTATCTAAGAAAGCCTTTAGCCACGCACACGTTGATGTTATATGATATAATAATCGAAAAGGTTGACATATCTAGTACGAAGGGAATTTATAAAATTGTTTTTTGTAATTAGATTATATAAAAGAATATTTTTCTACGAAACAAATCTAAAGTAATCATAGACTTTTTAGATTTACGAAGAAATCGTTTATTAGTAGTACATTTTGTACAAGTGCATGAAACACAGGAAACCAGGAAAATTATATATAAAAACTATATCCATAAAACCACCCTTGTTTTCTTATAATAAAAAACATTTTTCTATTGTTTAAAACGATTGAATGAAATCAAATGGTATACATTTCAAATACATTTATTCGAGTGCATATATGCATTTTTGTATACAAAAATCCAATTTAATCGCATTCTAACGGTTCCAATATCTCCTTCTCATGCTCACTAACCGATTCCCCGGCCTCCAGCATCTTCATCATCAAGCATTTGGCCACGCAGAGGATCTCGTGGTTTTCCTCCGTGGCGTAGAAAACTTCCATCATGGTCAGTCCTTTAGATTCAACGCATTCCTGCCAATCGTCCATTTTATCGGCGATGGCAGTGCTCTGGAAAATCGTGGAATAACCGAGACCGACTGGAGGTATTTCATCGCTGTTTGTACTTACGAGTACGAATATTAAGATGTTTCCTAAGAGGAGTAGTTTCGACATGTTAGCTGGACACTGGAATTGCGATTGCTGTCGTCGATACAAAGAGTGGAATGGTAGTGAGGTTTAATTTGGAATCCGCGATTTAGTATTAGGGCGATAAGGATTTAATTAAAAAACGAAATGTGTATTAATTGTGGTTGATCGATTTTAATAGCACAATAAAAATTGGAAGAATGCAAATTTAACGTACAATTAATAATCAATGATGCTTTATCTGGAACATGCAGGTTTTAATTTTCATCACGTCCTCGCAACTCTCCACTTTGACGCCTTCCATGCACTTCGTGACGGCCTCCTTGGCTTTCTCCTGGTACTCGGGGGGTATCTGTTTCAAATTGTCCAACGCCTTTTCCATGTTGATGTTGCCGTCGGCGCCGAGGACGCCGCTCTTCTCCATCAGGCATTTCATGAAGCAGCCCACCTCTTTGACCTCGCTGGGTGGGAAAGTGAATATGTCCTCTTTCTTGGCGCCGCTGGACGCCAGGCAGTCTTCGTATCCTGGTTGTTTTTCCATTTTCGCCTGGAACCTTTTCAAGCGCGCTTCCATGTCATCATCAGCGGATGCCCAGGAGATCTGGCGTTGTAGAAGAATGTTTTGGGGGATGTTTTTTATTTAGAATTTAATATACTTACGCATAAAACGAGCACTAGACTGGTTATTTTCAGCATGGTTACTGTAGGTAGATAAACAACGATTTATACACAACTACATGACTGGATCTAAAAAAATCCATATTTATAGTAGTGATTTTAATTGTGTTTTTCCCTGAAATTGCGAATAATGACACCGAATTATATATATGCAGACTGTATCAGCATCTAAATCGCGGAAAATTATATACTTATATAATATTTATTTAATTCACAGATACCTGCAATGAACGCTCTTTTCCGAAAAATTATAATATCATAATAAGGATAATTGCTTTTTATCAAGGATATGTTTTTTTAATAAATATAATAACATTTGTGAAAAATGTAATTTTTATTTGCGGAAACCGATAAGTCGTGCGATAATTATAGAGTTGGTGAGTTTGTTTTTAATTTTCCTGTTGCCCATAGTTTTAGACATTTTTTGAAATATTCGGAATTTTTCGTTTTAATACTTATTTATATTTAGTCTAGGTACATTTTACATTGTAATTCCCCTATTTACAAAATACAATTGTAACTAATGTAAACTATTAATAGCTTCAAGTACATATTTAAATATTTAGATGTATTAGAGATTTGATAAGAAAAACCTTTAATCCCCTACTTTATTTCAAATTAAAACTTATTTGATACCAGATAATTTAATTTTCGATCTTTGTAATGGATTAGAGTTTTTGGGACATCCTGTAATATCATATTTGATCAATAACTAGTTTTTCTACTTCTTTCTTTAATACGGTCTCTTTCAACGCATAGTATTCAGCCACCACAACTGTCTACAAATTCATGTAAAGTTGCAACAACATGGCCTCTTACTAGCAAGTTACTAATATCACTAAAACGTACAACGGTTGACTAACCTTTATTTTTGTTCGGAACTACACGAGCAAATTCTTATTTGATTTGATAAGTTTCATAAGTTACGCTTTTTATCTTCACGACGTAATCAACATACGCAAGTTGTTGACTTGACTAGCGTGGTGTTTACGTTCAAAAATATCGGTAGAAACGTGGTTACAACCAGTGGAAAGTCCCTTACATTTGTGTTCTCTGTTTCTCCGCCTTCGTTTCATCGCCAACTTCGCAGTTGCAAAATGTCAATAAGTTATACAACGCTGAAAAAGTGAAACAATGAGGGGATTACCCTAAAGTGCTTGGTTAAAATTATTGTAAATATTTGTCTGTATTGGCCTTAAAGTGCAAGTGTTTTATTTTTTAAGGTCGTTTTTAGTTTTAAATAGTGCGCTCTTTGGGTTTAACGGTTGAATATAGCGCCCAGCGTTTTATAGGTTATGAATGCTTGAATTGGATTTAACGGGTTTGTGCGGTTTAGAAGTTGTATAAAATCGCATAGAATTACCTGTAAACAACGCAAGGAGTTATAATTGTTGCATTATTCGAAGAAAGTTGTTAAAATTAAACATGGAGTCCACCACTAGCACTGCGAGCACAGCTCCGAAGGAGGGCAAATTCATAATGGTCAAAGGCAAGAAAATCAAAATCCTCGCGAAATCGGAACTACCGAACAGTCAAATAATGAAAATCGGACTGACTTCGCCGAAAGATAAAACTCTCAAATTCAAAATACTCCAAAACCTGTTGAATTGCGAATCTCCCAAACCCGTTTCGGACGTAGATAAGCAAACGCCGGCTCAAACTGCTCGAGCAATCGACAAAAAAGCTCTCAGTGATACCCACACCGTCGCAGCGAAACCAACTGATAAGTGCACTGATAACAAAATGGTTCGATTGAACGGCAAACGGATCATAGCCGCCTTGGATTCGGCGCCCAAGCAACCTTTGAAAATCGACAGGGCCATCCAGACGGAAACGGCCACCTGCGATGCGGCCACCCAAAAGGACACCACCTTCGATCTGGAGGCTCTCTTGGCGGACTCGGAGGACTTTTCGCTGCTGATGGACGACAGCCTGCTGAGATCGCCCAGGAAAATCGAGTCGCCTATGATGGCTGACTTGAACAGCACCCTTCACCACACCGGCTTCGACAACCCGGGCTCCGCCGTGAAGCAGAAACAAGAGATATTCTTCAGAGAATTGAGATCTGCGCTGCAATGCGACGATAAAGGCAACCTGTACGTACCGATTTATATCAATTCAAATAAGTTGAGTCACCCTGTAGTCCGATTACAAGAATGTTTCGCAATGTTTCATGTGTTTACTTATAATTTTCATGGGAACCCCATTTGATATCTCTATTTATCTATGTTTATTCTGATTTTTGAATCGTACGTTTCAGGCCAATACACATCGGTGTGCTTACGAACGATCTGAAAATAGTCAAAAGGAATTGCTTCCTGCTGAAAATCCTGAAACAAAGCATCGACATGCCTAACGGTAGCGGATCGGTAAGTCTTCGATGTGATTAAATGCACCGTTAGGCATAATACTGAGTGTTTTAATAATTTGCTTATTATAGACTCCTCTGCAATTGAGCATAGTGTACGAGGCATCTCTGAATATAATCCAGTGCCTGTTGGAAGAGGGCGCACAGGTGCACCAGTGCGACGTGGAAGGGAACAATATTTTGCATTACGCAGTGGAGTACCGAAGGAAGGAGGCGCTGAAAATGTTGCTGCACAACAGCCTGAGAGCGGACCTCTCTATCGACCAACACAATAACGAAGGTAAAAATAAATCTACGGTACTCGACTATTACAAAGCGGTTTTTTTTAGTGATAAACAAATAATAACAATGTATGTAGGTTGATAAGAATTGAAATTCCCCTGGCAAAAATCCCTCACCTTCGATAAAAAAAAAACGAGCACTTATCATTGTTTATCGATAACGAAGAAGCATCATTTTACGTAAATTTTATCTCTTTTATTACATTCGACTATATTTTATATAAATTCGTTATATACGCGTATAAATGATCGCGTTTCGATCGTAAGGAGTGTTTGCATTATCAACGCTTGATAAATTTATCGAGGGCCCGTATTTACGAAACTTATCTTTATCATCGAGGTCACCCGTAAAGTACTCGTAATCGATCGAAACGTTTCCAACGAAATGTAGCCGGAATTCTTGGAAACGCGAAATGGTAGATAGATTACGGCGAATTCAACGGAGATGTAGAATTCCCCGCGATTAATCGCAAACCGGGGAGTCATTCGATAGGAAAATAACGCGTGATGCATTCGAAATTCCAGGTCTGACGCCGCTGATGCTGTGCTGCCTGAACAGAAACTACGATTGCGCCGAAGTCTTGCTCGAAGCCTCTGCGGATCCCAACGTCAAAGATCAAATATCCGGAAAGACTCCTCTGTTTCACGCCGTAGAACTGTTCGATGGTACGTACAACTGCTCTATAGTGGCTGGATACTCGAAGGAATAAGAGGCTATCGAGTTGACGAACAAGGAGTAGAGTTGCAACGCGATTCATCGCGAAATCGAATTTTATCGAGGCTGTGCATCCAAACAAGGCTATGCAGCCACTAAGAAAATCTTTATAAATTGAAACAAAGCTGTACAGCCATTTACAAGAGACTATCTCATTTTAAACCAGACAATGCAGCCCTTTATAGGAAATTTTTCAATAAGGCTATGCTACTTACAAGAATTTCTTTAATATTGAAACAAGGCTATGCAGCCACTTACAAGAGACTATAATTTTTTAAACGAGACTATTCTGCCACTTACAAGAGACCTTTTATAACTTTAAACGAGACTATTCAGCCACTTACAAGAGACTCTTTATAACTTTCATCGAGACTATTCGGCCACTTACAAGAGACCTTTTGTAACTTTAAACGAGACTATTCAGTCACTACAAGAGACTATAATTTTAAACGAGACTATTCAGCCACTTACAAGAGACTCTTTAGAAGTTTAAATGAGACCATTCAGCCACTTACATATGTACAAGAGACTCATTATAACTTTAAACCAGACTATTCAGCTACTTACAAGGACTCTTTATCTTTATAAGGTTAAACGAGACTATTCAGCCACTTTCAAGAGACTCTTTATAACTTTCATCGAGACTATTCAGCCACTTGCAAGAGACTCTTTATATCTTTAAACGAGCCTATTCAGCCACTTACAAGAAACCGTTTATAACTTTAAACTAGACTATTCAGCCACTTACAAGAGACTCTATAATTTTAAACAAGGCCATGCAGCCACTACAAGCGACTAATTTTCCCGTTCTTCTAGTGGGCATGGTGGAGTTGCTGCTGCAGTTCAGCGCGTGCACGAAGATCAAGAACTTCTTCGGGACGAGCCCGCACGACGCCGTCTACGAAATCGAAGACATTCCGGACACGATCAAGTACTTGATATTGAAGAAAACGTCGAAACGAAAGGCGCCCGACGAGCCGGGCAGGCGATCGCAGAAGGCGCCCGTGCAACTGTTGGAAAAGAAGAAAGTGAAGGTGTTGAGGACGTACGCGAGATTCGAGCGGATATCGCCCGCGAATTTCAAGAAAACCCCCCGCAATTACCTGGCTAATCGCCTGGCCGCGTCGCCTATCGGGTAATATTTTTCGTACGTTTGTTTATTGTATATATGGAGTTTAGGAGATATGATATTTTTTATTAGTTTAACTGAGGGTTTCGTGTGGAACCTCGCCGCTTGGTTAAGTATATAGGAATTTTGGGTAGTATGTTTTTTAATTCTTACGTTGCGTTAAGTGAAGCAATGAATTTCATTTTCGATCGCCTTCGGCGACATCCGGTTCGTTGCTTTGTAAATATCGAATACTTATTTAGTTCTTAATTACGTTAGAGGGCAAGAAAACTATCATATTATATGATTCTCATTTGATAACGTAAAAAAAACTGTTTAAATGCTCCTTGCGAGCAGTGAAGATCAATTTCTGTTCAAATATATCTGTGATTAATTGAAATACTTATTTAAATTGAAACAATGAAAGTTCACGAAGTTCCTTCGCCGATTTTTTTGTCATGTATATATCAGGATAGTTAATTAAACTATTTTCGCTTAATTAGGGTAATTATTTTATTGTAAATAATAATTTAGTGGTATTGGTTCAATTGAACAAATTGCAAAACTTAATAAGCTGGAAATATTTTGATATATTTTGTGGGATTTTGTATTGTTTTACACGCTTTGTTCTAAATTAATTATACCCATTTTGATTATTAAGTTTATTTATTATTTCAGCAAATTAATAAAATTGTATATGAACTGTTACCTGCGGATAAGCCACTGTTTTCAGTAAGTTATTTGTAATTGAAGTATTTAATAAAAGTAGATTTATTTCACGATATCAATTATCCTATCTACCCATCGATTATATAGGAAGTTTCTTGAGGACATTTAAACCAAAAAAATATTTAAAAATTATTTTGTATTACGACAGTAAGGATCGTTTATTCAACTTCGAGTGCTCCACGTAATTGATCCCATTAGAATTGTAATTGACAGTAATTGAATCTAGGAATAAATTACGTGGAATTCGCTCGGTGATGAATACACGACCCGTAAAGCTGTTACATTTCACATGAGACATAAATAAATAATTTACAAATTTACAGATTCGAATGAATAAACAGTAAAAAGCGAGCAAAAAAAATCAATATGATTTCCACAATAGTTTTAATATAAAATACTTTCAACGGTAAGAGTTACTTAACAAGCTAGAGGATATCAGTCTGAAAAAAAATCATAAATAATGTACAAATTCCATGCACAGATAGACAAATAGACATTTAACATTATACGATCTCGTAAAATATGAGGTATACGTTTTTGAACATAAAATTAAACAATAATCAGTCCGCAATAAATTAAAATAATACTACAAGTTTTCCCAAACTTGTACCATCGAATACCTCCCGAATGCTCTATTAATCCTCCGTGGACATCTGAGTACTAGCGCTGGAAAAAGACCCCCTAGCATCGCCGCTCAAACAGCTATCCGGCACTGTAATAAAATTACATTTCTTGTAGCTGGCCCAATTCGAAGAGTTGTACACTCTCTTCAAGATGCTCTTCCTTTCGGTCTCGTTTTTACACGTCACGACCACCTCCGGAATGACTCGAGCTGGCAAATTGCTCTCCAGATTCGGCTCCAAGCAGTCGAAACTCGCGTTTTTAACAGCCGAATGCCTCCGCGGCTTATCCACAACATCTAAATTCTGCGAGTGATTCGCAAGATTAAACATTTTACAAATCTCCCGCTTCACCCGCTTGTTCCTGTACCCGAACAGAAACGGCGATATAATGTTCGATAGAACTAGCAGTATCAGCGATAGGTAGTTGAATATCTGGCTAGTTTTCACCTCTATGCATTTACTGCACAACACCAACGTAATGCCGTAGGGCAAGTAGCAAATCAACACTAGAAATATCACGATCACGCTGATCTTCGCCGCCCTCGTCTCCTCGCGGTACTTGAACACCGAAGCGTTGGAGATCTTGTGCTTCAAGTTGCTGATGAAGCTGCTCGAGCTCCTGTCGCTCGGCGTCCTGCTCACCTTCCTCTCGTCGTCTCCCACCGTAAAGGCCTTCTCCTGCTTCAGCACGGAGAACTCGGGCGCCGAATGCACCTTCGGCAGCACCTCCTTCCGCTTCTCCGGCGTCGGCATCGCCGCCGGCGCGCCCGCCTCCACGTTAGGATTCAACGGCGCCGAGGCGGAGCGGCGCATGCGCTCGCTGTTCTGGTGCGCCGCCGTGTAGATGCACACGTAGATGACGCAAATGGCGACGAACGGCGCCAGGATCACCAGGAAGAAGTAGCCGAAGGCGTAGAGCGTGTTGAGGACGCGCACGCTCTCGCTGGGCGGCGGCCGGTGCTCGCAGAAGTGCCACACGCTGCTGTCGCTGTAGGTGAGCGAGCTGAGGACGGCGCCGCCGAGCGCCACCGACCAGCTGGCGCCGATGAAGGCGCTCGACCGGCACCGGTTGATGTAGAAGTGGTAGCGCAGCGAGTGGATGACGCCGAAGTACTGGTTGACGCCGATCAGCAGGATGCTGAAGATGGAGGCGGTGCATATGAAGCTGGTGGTGCTCTGGGCGAGGTAGCAGAGCGCCAGGTCGGTGCCGTTGGCGCGCGCCGCCCATTCGATGATTTCGATGGAATTCGACGACGGATCGGCGTCGATGACGATGTCGACGTCGACGGCGGGGAGCGATTCGTTGGCGGCCGATCGGATGCGGATCGACGAGTAGCTTTCGTGGTCGATGAGCAGCAGCGGTATGAGGAGGATGCTCGATAGGAGATTGGTCACCAAAAGGTTAATGATAAACCTGGAACGAAAGAGAGGATTCGTTAGAATTTTAAACGTTGGATAAATCTTCTAAAGGTGACTGGATGCGTTAACAAAAAAAGGCTTTTGGAATTATTCAATGATTAGTAGGTGTAGTTTTAATCAATGGACAAATATTTTAAAGCTGGTTGGATGTATTATGAACAAAAGGCACTTGGAATGATTCAATAATAATTATAAACTATGGTCTTAAATCGAACAAATTCCTTAAAATTTTAATCATTGGACAAATATTCCAAAGCTGGCTGGATGTATTGTGAATAAAAGGCCTTTGAAATGATTCGATAATAATAAAAATAAACTATTGGTCTTAAATCGAATAAATTCGTTAAAATTTTAATTATTGAGCAAAAAGTTGGCTAGATGCATTTTAAACAAAAGACCTTTGAAATGAATCATTAATATTAACAATGGTCACAAATCGAACAAATTCGTTAAAATTTTAATTATTGGACAAAAAGTTGGCTGGATGCATTATAATCAAAAGACCTTTGAAATGATTCATTAATATTAACAATGGTCTTAAATTGAACAAAATATATTAAACTTTCAATCATTGAAGAAATATTCCAAAGCTGACTGTGGACGCATTATAAACAAAAGACCTTTGAGATGATGAAAAATATTAATCATTGGACAAATATACCAAACCTGACTGAGCGCATTATCAACAAAGGACCTTCCAAAAAATTATAACAAAACACTGGTCTTGGTCAAAGTTGGCTGATTAATCATTCAAACGACCAAAAAAAAAGAAGAAAATGACCATGTAAAAACCTGCATTATCAAACTAGGTATTTTGCGTAGGTAAATTGACGCGTGTCCGGGGGAATTTGTTTGTCAGTTAGATAGTAATTTAATTCATTAAAATCATTCTTGGTTTTTGGTTTATTCATTTAATTGACGCAATACCATGACCTGGCCACGCGTCATGTTCGCAAAAATTCCCTTATCACTTCCACTGATAATTAAAATCCCGACGTATTATTAGCCTAACGAAAGTGTTATTAAGGAGTTTTTTGAAATAGTAAAAACAATCAGATATTTCGAATGACTGCTCGGTTAATTAATTAATTAGTGGTTATTATCTGGATTTTTTCTCGCTGAATCAAAAGTAAAATATGTCATTAACCATAGAAATTATACATCTGTTTTTGTAATTACATTACATTCGGTGGATTATCTAATTTCTAATAAAAAATGTATTAAAGTGCAAGGTACGGAATTAATTTAAAACCACGAAAATTACACTGCAGCTTTGTAATAACGTAATACACAGCTTTTTAAATTCGTTTGGATTAAAATTACCTCAAAACACCAACAAGTAGGTAATAAAAAATTTTTATTGTTCATTATGTTAAAAAAATGAAACGTGTCCTCGCGACTACCTATAAAGGAACGTTAAATTTCACAAAAGCTATTACATCAGTTATGAATGAATAACACGGAACATTATCCAATTATTGAAATATATCAACTGGAAAAAGAACCTAACCGATTCAATTTTCGTCTTCTACATGCATGTAAGGCCTTTGTTACTACTGTTATTCGATCTAATATAATCTATATGGCCTTTTGCTAGTGTCTTATAGAGCCAAAATGTACAAAGTGATTGCCTTACCTATTAGGGACTGTCCTAAGCCCTCTTCGCCTGCAAAAGACGAATAACAGGAAGAAGTTGGCTGTGACTGCTATCACTGATGACGTCACAAGACCGATTGTTATCAACCAGTGGTAATCGGAATCCATTTGTGGCCTGTAACAATAAAAATAATATTGTTTATTTGTTTGCATAAAATCACAATAAATATATTTTTTTAGTGAATAATTTCAAGAAAATAGAGATGTTTATAGAGAATGTTTTCTAGGGAATAGTGATTTGTATAGAGAATATTTACCAGAGAATAGAGATTTCTATATGGAAAACATTTATAGATATTTTTTAGAAAATAACGATTTAATAGTGAGTCTAGAGAATGTTTTCTAGAGAATATTGATTTTAATAGAGAATGTTTTATAACAATATTTTCGAGAGAATAGAGATTTTTATATAGAATGTTTTTAGAGAATATTTTCTAGAGAAGACATATTTTTATAGAGAATATTGTCCAGATAATAGAGATTTTTCTTGAGTGTTTTTAGAGAATATTTTGTTGAGAATGACTAGATACATTTTTAGATAATTTACAAAGAAGAGTTTTTTTATAAAAACATTTTTTTAGAATATTTTCTAGTGAATAGAGATTTTTATAAAGAATATTTTCTCCCTACCTTAAAAGTTATTGAATTATTAAGCAAATAATTTTATTTTTTGCTTATTAACAAATATTTTTCTATGTTATGCAACATTTCATTTTCAGATAGGTACCTGACTTATTAGCGAATTTAATCTATAAAATAATAAAAAATAGTAGAAACCAATTCGGTTTTCATAGGGAAATCATCAATTTCCTTTCCTTTTAAATCTCCAAAATAATCAACAAAAAAAACAACAAATTTTCTACCTTAATCTTCAAACTCCAGCGGTAAATTCAACGCGACTGCCTGCCGCCCATGTTTCGGGAAACCCCCCAAAAAAATCCTTCGAAAACCAACCAAACGCACCACCGAAAATACCTCTTACAGCACTTATACCAATCCAATCGCGCGATAAAATTGTTACCAAGTAATTAACAATGAAATTGTTCGATCACTTTCGCACCGCAGAGGTCACAACGCGGCCCGATAGCGGGCATTTTATCGAAACAATACGGGAGCCGATAAACGAAGAGGCATCGAGTTCACCGCGACTTTTATTGATAGCCGTGCGACCGCTCCTGCCGGAGTTCCACGCGCAAATGCTGCGGGCCCAAAGCGAAAAACCACGCTCGAAGCGAACGCGGTGCAAAAGTTATTTTACAGTTGACTCGAATGGGTCGCGAGTCGAGCGGAGTCAAGAAGGTAGAACGTCGAATTGAAGGAGGAACGATCGGGAGCTTTTATAAGAACGTCGAAATCGCATTATAAAGCAATTAACCCTTCTCTTTTTTTCCGTGCTTGTTGGTATTTTTTTCGGAATTTTCGATGGAGTTTTCTAGATTGGCGTGAATTGGGCGCAAAAGGGATGGGTAGATTGGTGAATTGGGCTCCAAAAGAGTTGTAGACTTTAATCATTTAGGTAAATTGGGCATAGAGTACTTCCTAAAATATTCACAAATAAATTATTCTATTCACGATTGATTTGAAGATGCGTTCGATTATACACGATAAATAAAAAGTGTCAAATTTGACGTTAATGACATTTCGTGTGACAAAAGTTTAATAGAGGTGGGAATCGATTTTAGTATAGAGGTAACGACTGTTACAAAATAAGTGTTATTTTGCATTTTGCAAATATCGTTTATCTGATTACTTTACTCTGAATCTACATCACTCTATTCTACTCTGAATCTATTCTTCTCTTCTTTAGAATTCCCCACCCTACCCTACTTTATTCTACTTTACTCTACCTTAGAATTCCTCGTGCTATCCTACTCTATTCTGAATCTATTCTACTCAGAACTTATACTTTACTCTGAATTTGCTCTACTCTGAAATTGCTCTATTCCTAAACTACATTACTCTGAATCTACTCCACCCTGAATCTACTCTACTCTGAACATACTCTGAATCTACTCTACTTTGATTCTACTCTACCCTGAATCTACACTAACTCTACTCTATACACTGAATCTACTCTATTCCTAAACTACTCTACTTTACAAGTTTGTAATGACATACCCTTTTAAGATCTCAGATAATAAATCTATTTCTGTGCCCAATTTACCGCAGGTTTATTAGATGTTCCTCAAAAATTCTAAAGTAGTTTTTTTTTAGTCAACATGTTAACAAGCGTAGTATAATGACGTATATCTTAGCTTTAATGTCTTTTATATTTTCGCAGGTACTTGTTTCCTGCTGAGCATTAAATTAAAGCGAGAATAAATTAGTAAAAGTAGGTAGATATAATAAAATTTGTCGTGATATATTGCGTGAATGTTTGGCAACAGCGGTAGGCGTATGTGTATATTGGAAATGTAATTGTACCTAAATGTAGAATTTTTCGGAATAGGTTGGAAATAATTAGCGAAATTAAAAAGCCGAAAATTGTTCTGTTTGTAAACAAACGGTGAATTGAGTAGATATTTTAAATTAGCCGAAATGTTTAGGAAAAATTGCTAATTAGGTGACTTAATAAATATTATATTAGCCCGCAAAATAATGCGAATCCGTTGAATTTAATGAACGGATAACATTGAAATGATATCGAATTTATTTCTGGATATAAATTGCTTAATTTCGTATTTTTTAATTTTTACGATATTATTTTCCGGAGAAATATTTAGTTTTTTGTACTTCAAAAGATCACTATTTGGATAAACTTACCTGAATGGCCATTAATAATTTTTTTCAGTAAATTTTTATAAACAAAAAATTGCCAACATATGAAAATATTTGTTCCCCGTTTAAAAACTGACAATATTAATAAGTTTATCAAAACAACAAACAATCAAAAATAGAAAGTTCAACGTGAAATTTTGAAGTACCGTATCAGAAAATTCGAGAGTTAATTAAAATAATACAAAAAAAAATCAAGAATTTCAATTTATAATCACCAAATTTTTAATTAACAAAATTAAGCGATAAATAATAGTTCAACTACTAATTAAGGAGTTAATTAGGAACTTTTACGATCAAATTCCAATTAAAAGAATCAAACTTTTCGATAAAAAATGTCACCATTTCTCAGATATAAAAAAATCGCTGATCGCTTAAATAAAGCTTTATTTATAAACCGCGAGAGCTCTTAGATAATTTTATTTTCAAACCGTCATAATTACTTTGGCTGGCACTTTTCGCGATATAATTATAGACTTTCGCTGGCAATTGTGCGACAGAAATAAAACCCATTTCCATGCACTTTTTTACTGCTATCTTATTTACAAGCGGCTAAAATTAAATTATCGGCTATATTAAAACTACACCAATAATCTCATTATAATCAACAGTTTAAAAATACATACAAACATGGTTAAATAAACTTGTTTGCATTATGCTAATTACGCTCTCACCGCGAATTTGCTCGAATAGGTACGAAAATATATAAAAAGTCTAAAAACTCCATTCGTTGTTTTGAATATTTTCTTGCATTAGGGTATCCACTTACAGCGACGTTTCGTAAACACATCTCACTGCGACAGAATGTCGCAAACAAGAAATTTTTAACGCGGAAATGACAACTCTCATTTCGAGAGAAAAATTTCGAAAATATTGTTGACACGCTCGCTCTCCAAGTGCCCGTTAATTGCATATTTAATCGCCCGTTAAAACGCCGCTAATGAAATTTATTCCCATCAGAGAGGCGTTACAAAAGTCGCAGGATATTTTTAATATTCGATGACTGATCTTCCCCAAACTACAATTTTCTTCAAAAAAACGTCTTTTTGGCGCGAAAAACGTAACATTTCACATCGCTAGTAAATTCTCGGTTTGCACCTGGGGGACCGTTAAATCGACACACCGAAGGTGGAGGCGACGTGGGCGGGAGGACACGTCCCAAAATCGCCTCGAAATAAAATTCAAATGAGCCCGATGATGCGGCAAATGATTCACAGGTGAAGATAAAATCCGAAACGTCGAAAGAAGGCCCCCGTTCGACCGTGTGCGGCAGATAAACAAAACGTCTTCGGGTTCATTGATTCCTCCTGCAGTTTTATTACGAGGAAAAGGGGAATCACTCGAGATGGAATCGATGTAAAAGTTGTTCCAACTTACCCAATAAATTTATTGAATATACATGTTTACAAATAGATTGGATAATAGTGATGTGTTTCACAAAGTAAATATGTTGTAGAGTGCAACTTTTAATTTCGTCACAAGTTGTGTATTGAATAGAAAATGTATCCAAAAAAGACATGATTTCATCGGGGATTTTCTGAACAAATTTATTGCAATGAAGTTTCCATATACGCCAAAAATTATCTGTATTTATAAATATATTTATAAATTCCGTATCCTATTCTTGATCCTATTGAAAGTTCATTTCGCATATTTAATCGACCTAACGGTAGATATTAATCGTGCAACCTTGAGATGAGATAATCTCATTCTTTTCGCCAGTCAATCCAATTCTACCGGTAATCGATTAAATAATTTTTGGATTCACTCGTCAATTATTACTATTACTATTAATCGATTACCATTGGAAAATGGAAGGTTTAATACAGTTTTCGTGCACTTAATACCTCCTCTAGAAGTTCCAATTAGTTCAAATAGCGGGTATAAAACTAAAGAACAATAGTGCTTTTTTTTAACTTATACTAAACAATGAAGGTAGAATCCTCGTGGGCGTTTAACAGTAATATCGTACTGAATAAATTTCGAAGAAAAATAATTTCATCGAGACCTAATTGCCGATAAATTATAATAACCGACCGGTTATCGCGCTTTAACGAGACCAATTTGTTCTCCAAATAAAAATCCCCTCGAAACGCAATGAAAAGGATGATGCACTTCTTGCACGTCTGGGTTCGATTTGCCTATTGTGCAATTGGAATAGTCAAAATAAACGGGTTGATTGAACGGAAAAATGTTTAATCAAAACCACCGCGATTAGCTCGAAGGAATTTTTTTGTAGTGCAGCAGAATCGGCGGCACGTGCGGGCACGCGCCCCGCCTGTAGGCATTTCATAAACGGATTTTATTAGATTTTGTTTGTAAAATCGATTGCGTAAATGA